AAACTCGAATTAGTCTGTAGATTAATGTTTGATTCCGATTATCTATGATGAGTTCTAAGACAAAAATAGCATTTCAGGTAATATAATCATGAATACATAATTTAAGTAAAGATTCGAATATTTATGAACAGATTTCCTTTGAAGCCGTTCGTATGTATAAAGCCTTCCATAAATTCGCGAATTCAAACTTAATTGATCAATTTATAATTGTATTACATGCAATGCTATTGCATCATTAGAGCTTATCCAATAACTGTTCGAATTCAGCATCGATTTAAAGAGTAGTTTGAGTTTTAACGTAAATGACTCACTTAATCCAACATTCAACGTGTTCAACTTCGGATCCGAAATTAGGCATAGTATCAGTTTGAACGCTAACTTCGATAGTTTCTTTATAATGAATAACAAATATTTACCTCATTATCATATAACATATCATAACTACTGCTACTATTTAGCACATCTTCCGGTGTAATAAATATAATATCATCTGTTAAAACATCTCGCACGATGTATGTATCAACATCATCAATCATGTCTAGAAGAAGACAAAAGAGTAGAAAAAGAAGACAAAAAAGAAAAAAAGAACTGTGTCTTTTACCCATTTGTGGATTCGGTGAAATGATTTGTTCTTGTGACTTAGCTGTTTTTCTTTCATTTAATCCCCCACTAAATTCATTTTCTTGTTGTCCTACATCAGGATTTTTTGACTTTCCACCTATTTGTTGATAATGATGATGATGATGATGTTTATGACTATTTAATGAATCACTAATATGATAATTTTTTGTTACTGATTGTGTATTTCTTGATGAATTTGTGCGATAAGTTTGTAAACCATCATAATCGGCATAAATCATTTTAATAACTTGCCATGTTGCTTTTAAATCTGATCTTTGTAATTGTTCAGCAACAAAACTATTTACATCACAAATATGAGCTAGAGCTTCAGATGACTTATCACCATTACCAAATGTCCATCGTCGCGCAAATTGATGAAATAATTCAACTGAATCATCCTTTGAAGAATTTGAATACATACAAACAGTGGATTTTCCATGAATTGTTTCATTATATTTTAAAAATTTTGACATAATTTCTTCTGAAAAAAACTTTTTTAAACCTGTAAAAGATGTTGGAACCTGTCGTTCAGAATATAATGCTTGAATATATTCATTATTAATATTTGGCATTGCAGCACAAACATGTCCTTTTGATGTAACATTCAATGAAAATAAAGGTATACATTGATCAGTTTTTATTGCACTTGATATATGAGCATGAACTAAACGTTCATCACGACCAACAGATACTAAATTATCAGAATTTGGACGCCATGAAAAATCACCAATACTGTCTAAAAAAAATAAAATTATAGTGACAAGATATGTTCAAAGTTTGAAAAAGTTTTGTTCGTAAACTTATCAATTATTCTACCTAATAATAATGTCATATTACATTCTCTTTTTGGTTTAAAATTCTGTTCGTTTTCTTGTTGACGTATAAAATGAATAGAATATTGTATTTATGATTTAAGAACATTAGATATAGGAAAACATACATCAATATTATTCGATAAGATTTCTTTGTCTTATGAAATCATATGCAAATTGAAAATGTAACAAGATAAGTTTTAATTACCTTGATGCTAATATGCAATGAACAATTCGAAGGACATGACGAACATAGAGCTAGAAAGGTGACCATTTTACTGTGAATATTCGAGGGACGAAAAGCTTCCTGATTCACATCGAAGGCCGTTACTTCATACTACTTCAATCAATCAAGCTCACACTATAAGAAAAGTTGAGCCCGCAGTTGAACATTATCGTCTACAAGTACCAGAGAAGAATCTTCTTCTAAATGGAAACGGCAATCCAATAATTATTGTGCTGTTGCTGAGAACTTAAAGACATTTGAAGACAACAATTTTACAGCCAATTACATGGTCTTTTCAAGAACGACAATCCATATACTGAACTTCAGTTGCAAATAAAACAATCAAGAATTAGTCGTTTATTTGATAAAACGTAATGCAAGATTTAAAAGATAGCTTTTTTTAAAGCCTTAAAAATCTTGAGGTAAAAATAGGCGTTAATCATCATAGTTTTGGTCTAGTATGTACACATAAATTTTCAAACCTATTGCAGATATAGAAGCTGAGACCAGATGAGGAGTAGACAGGACTAATGTCCACTATTATACTACATTCAAAAGTTAATACTGATATTGATTATTACAAAACTAATGAATTGCAAAGAGTCTATTGCAATGAGGTAAGTTTACATCATTCTATACAATGAAGAAAACTAAGTGAATGTTACGATTCTTACATATGTATTCTTACGAATAATGCTTATCTATGTCTATGTAAAAAAAAATATCTAATTTTAATAAGGTTTAACTAAAAATTCAAACCTATACAAAAATAATTATTTATAATAAGATATTGAAAATATCTTTTTCAATCATTGAAAATCTATAAAATAAAACATAAAACAATCAATGATGCTTGCAATTAAACTATCTACATATTTAAAGATAAAAGATGAAAAGTTGTTTCGATACAATGAGAATATATCTTAATTTCATACTTTGATGATGGCAAAATGATGCTTGTGGTAAATAAGGACGTCTAACATCCCAAACATGAATACGTGGATCTACTGAAAGTGTTGAGCATGCTATATGATAACGACATGTTGGACGCCAACTAAGTTTAGCAACTGTGCCAAATGATTGCACTTTAAATAGAGGCTCTTGTCGATTATTACTATCTTGTGCATTCCAAATCTTTAAAACAAGAAAAAAAGAAAGTTCTATTTATTTCATAAACATTAATAATAAAATCTCACTCGTATAGTTCGATCACGACCGCCTGTAGCAAGCCAATAAGATTCATTATAATTCCATGCGAGACACAGTGTTCTATCTGCTGTCGTTAAAAACATAGCAGGAGATTCAATTCGTCGAATATCCCAAAGCTGATGAAACAAAATTCTTTTTTTCTTATAACTAACAAGTAATTTTACATACTGGTACGATACATTGATCATTTAATGCAGCTGCAAATAAATTTGGATTAGCATTGTTAATATGTATATCACGAAAACCATCTTCACTAACATGACGAAATGAGGCAACAACTTTATTTGTATTAAATGTTCGAAAATCAATCAACTAAAAGAATATATATAAATATATGGAATATAATTGCAATAATTCAATTATTCTATTAAACCTTTGCATATCCATCTTGTGATGCTGTTAATAATAATTTTGGGTCTAAATTAAATTTTTAAAAAAATATATTCACATGAATTGTTTTTTTTTTCTTATTGTTTGAAAATTTTACTTGTTGGATGGAATTGAAGACGATTAATAGTTGCATTATGAATTTTAAATTGACTTATCATAGTGAATTGATTAGCATCCCAAATATTTAAAAGACCCGCTGTACTAGCCGATGCAAAACAATGTTCTTTGAAAAAACAAAATTTATTTATCATTTTGAAAAATATTTAAAAACAAAATTTACCATCATTCGGATTCCATCCAATATCCGTTGGTTGTACTGGTGGACGTCCTGATCTTTGTGCTTGACGAAAATCATGTATTTCAATAAATTTTTCTACTTCATCACATTGTTCAATACCAAGCAATTGAAAACCTTTTTAATTAAATAGAAAATACAAACAATAATGAATATTTTTACATTTGAATCTTTTATACTTTGTTGTCCAGCTGCAATTAATCGATTTCCATGACAATTAAGACAAAGTACAGTTGTACCAGCACGTACATACCATGAAAATGTTGCTTGGGGTAATTGATTAGAAAATTCTTAAGATACAATATGATAGACATGTATTATGAAAATAAAATATTTACTTGTTAATTTTGTTTCATCCATTCACAGGTAAGTTTTTTTTTCTAGTAAGAAAAACAAATAAAAGAAGATAACATAATAAAAAGAAAAATAAATCATTGGTAATTTGTGTTAGTTTATTTTTCAACAAAAAAACAATTAACAAATTATTAAAAAAATCACAGAAAAAATATCAAAAAAAATATTTCATTCAAAAAATAAATCTGAAAAATCATTAAATTTAAAATGCACGATGTAGAAATGATTGCACTTGTTCATAAGTCATAAATAAAGCACCGGTAGCAAAAAAACTACGAATAAGTGTTGGTAATAAACCAGCATACAATGTTGTAAAACCTAATTATATAATCAAACTCGTATTTTTCATAAATACAAAATAGTATGTTTTTTTTTACCTTCATTTCTAATAAATTCAATTGTATATTTCATAGTGTTCATATTTGGTTTTAATACTTGTATACGTGATTTTATTGCATCAATAGGAAACATAAATATCCAAAAACAAATACCAGCCATACCACCCGAAATCCATGTTCTAACAAATCCTATTTATCAAAATAAATATTGAATAAATAGATATTATAATTTAAGTTTCAAGTATTTTTACCAATATCTGTTTTCTTTTCATTCTCTTTTGTTAATAAAGACCTTGTTAATTCATAAGCACCAAAAAAGCATCCATAACCAGGACATTCTCTAGCTAATGTCGCGGTTAACCCCCGATATAATCCTCGTATACCTTCAGTACGTATAATATTTCGTATTATATCTATTGGTGAACTAAAAATATTCTCACGTGTTTACCTAAAGAATGCAAAACAAAAAGAAAATCACAAACATTTATTTACATTGTTTTACGTATGGGCTTTTGTTTATGTAGCTGAAAGTCATTCATTGTTTGTATACGACATTTAACTAATTCAGTAGGACATAAAACTAAAGATGCAAATATTGCTGCTAAACTTCCAGCTGCCATATTTTCTAAAGATGTTAATTGTTCATGATTATTTTTATTATTTAATAAACAAATCAAATTTTGACATTGTCCATATGCCATAAATAAAACTCCATTTTCTTCATAACCCAAAAAAAAAATTTCATCTATTTATTGCTAATTAAGAGATTTTAAATGAATATCTGCAACATTGGCAAGTAATGATGGTATCGTTCCAGCATAAAAACCATATATACCATCTTTATAGAAAATTTTTTGAGCACAATCAAGAAAATTTCTATAATGATTTGGAAATATTTGAAGTTTAGTTTTGATTGTATCTAATGGTTGACCAACATAAACTGAAACTGTTGCACCTAAAATCATAAATTAAAGCTTAAAAGAGAGAAGAGCTAAAACGAGATTGAATATTTTACCAGCTATACCACTTAAAAAATCATACAAAGCAGCTGAATTCATATTTGACAAACAATTATGTTGCGCTAATACATGTTTGATCAAACAAAAATTTTTATTGGTAAAAAAATAAAGACCAATGAAAAACATCTGTTTATTGTTCTCTCTTCTTTCATTCCTCCTTGAATTATTATACATTCTTTTCCTTCCTTGAGATTACCTTTTTTTTTTTATTTTTTGACATTCATAAAATAAAAAATGTTATTTCGAAAAGATCCATGTGGAATTGTATGTATTGCATTAACGTATGCAATGCTTTTACATTGTCTTTATGTTATTCTATTTGTTATTATAATACCATTATTAAATGAAAGGTTTAAATTTTATTTTAATTAATATACGATTTATTTAGAAAATTTTCGTTTTAGTTTATATGGTACATTACATGCTTTAATCACTTGTACATTTATTTTTCTTTGTATGTTTTCACATGCTCGTGCTTCTTATTTTGATCCGGGTTTTGTACCTTTACCAAAAAAAGGAATTGATTTTTCAGACGTTAAAATAAATGATAATAATAAGGTAAAATATAAAATGAATTAAACGTAGTTTTATTTTTATTGTTTTGGAAATAAATTATTATTTTATTTCAGGTCAATGAACACGGTTGGACAAGTATGTGACGAAAAAGTTTTGATTTGACCTTTTTTGGTAGAAACATATTATTTCTTTTAGTTTGTAATCGTTGTGATACGTATAGACCAGCTCGTTCACACCATTGCAGGTAAATTGATTGATCAAAACGTCTGTGAAATGATGAAGGCCGTTTGATTTTATTTAGGATTTGCAAACGATGCGTTCGAAGGTAAAATTTTTGTTGTTTGACTATTAGATAAAAGTTAATCAAGAAGCTCGTTCAGAAGTTCAAGAACTTAAAAACAGTATACAAAATACTTTCATTCAACTTGAAACAAGATTATAATATAGTACATGAGGTTATGATCAATTCCACTAACCAAGAAATTCAAATTTCTGCAAATCATTATATAATGGATGACATGGACTAAGAAATATCGCTGCAAACATCTAGATTAAATATCGTTGATATGCAGCTGAAATGTATTTTTACGTATTCAATTAAAGAATACAATCTCTAGTCTAGTATTAGATTGAATCACGAGATTTATTTTATAATGAGAAAAATATAGAACTAATATCTGTAATTTGGCGGTTTGATCGAGTTAGAAAATTTAATTTTACTACAAAACTCTGTTTGATGAAAATGAATTTTCTCAGCCAATGCAAACAAAAAATATACACATCATTTCTAATATTCATTTTATATTAAAATGCATCTTCTACGCTGATGCCTTAAGCCTCCCTTAAAGAAAAACGTCGATTTTCATCAGAATTATCGAAATTAAGATAAATGCATGGGAGGATGCCGGATGCCTAATCTTTCATAAATGACATGATTTTTGTCATCAGCTGTTTGAAAATAGGCTGTTTTCAGACAAAACAGGAAACTGTTTCTTTGTTGTTTTTCAGTATATGCATATTTGATTGTGTATCCTAGACTTCTCGAAGGATCTTTATTGTAGCTCATAACTTTTCTTTTGTTTGAATTTAAGCGTTGATACTATGATATACGAGATTACTTATGACAATTTCATGTGATTTTAATGTATCTGGTACAAGACAAATTTTAGAGATGAGTGACGCCTCAAAGCATCAAAATTAATTTCTGTAAAGTTTTTTTCTATTGTAATTTCATTTGAATTTCTCAGAAATAGAAATTTAACATCTTATGATTCAATGACAGTATTAATTAGTGCTAGAATAGATATGACAAAGATCAATACGAATTTCAAATGTTGTTTTATGTAAGATAAAAACAAAAGTAATCATTCTATGTATGGTTCTTTGATTCAAAAAAAAACATCTCGAGATTATTATTTTTATATATTAAAAATTAATTTACTTAAATTCTATTTTAGATTAGATCATCATTGTCCTTGTAAGTAGAATGTTAATACTTCGCTGAACAATTATAATTGTATTTACCAGGGATTAATAACTGTGTTGGTGAATTGAATCAAAAATATTTTATTTTATTTCTTTTTTATATCGGTAATTAAAAGAATCTTTTTAATTCTTGAAAAACAATAAGAAACCAAATTTTCTTGTTTTTATTTATATAGGCGTTACTAGTATCTATGTATTATCATTTGTAATTTGGTCATTAATTGCTTTTTCACAGAAAAATGATGTACTAATGTATTTACTAATATACAATAGATAATTTTTTTTTTTTGTGAGTAATTATTCTATTTATATAGAGTTCATTCAATAATAATTTGTGTTGAATCATGTTTATTTGGTTTATTTGTTGTTACTATTTTTGTTGATCAAGTTCAATCAATATTAAATGATCGAAGTTTAATTGATACATTAAAATTAGATGAAGACTCTCGTATGACACAACAAATATTACCACCAGCAAGAGTTTTATTGCGAAAAGTCTTCGGGCCTGGTAAGCCAAAAAAGAAAATTAAAAGAAATCTATTTGATAAATATTTTTATTTTCAGGTCCAATGATTTTATGGTTATTACCCTGTGATCTGAAAAAATCAAATGAAACAACTGATCTACAAAATATGCATCATGTTTAAAGCATATAATCAAAATCTGTTATACGTCATGAATACATATTCGTTTTTTATATTTCCAATGTGATCTCATACTCGAACACAATAATATACAATATCTACAAGAGAATCTATGTCTTATAGTCAGCAAAAAAGAAAAAAAAAATCTTAAAATTGCTTTTTTTTACTAATCACAAGTTGATTGTACACGTATTTCTTTTTTTGTAATCATTTCCTTTTAATTTAAAATTTTTCAAATTCTCTTTAACATTCTTTTTCTAGATGATATAATAATCTCATAGGAACCAAATCAGAATAATGGCTCAAGCAGCAGCATCTAATTTACGACGACGTATTCTTGGTTCTCGACAAGATTCTCCATCAATACCAACAATTCAATCATCAACAAATGATATTCCATCAACACTTAATATATCAATTAATCCAATATTATCGAATTCTCAACATCGTTCTATAAGCCGTATTGATCGACGGTCTATTGAAAAAGTATGGAAACAAATGGATCGTATTGTAAAATATTGTCAAATGCCAAAAATGAATTTAAAAAATTCTCCACCTTATATGCTTGATATTTTACCTGATTTATATCAAACATTACGTGAAATAATTAATAATTATGATGATCGTTTACATATATTAAATGATATAGAATATTTTCGTATATTTATTGATAATCTTATTGAACAATGTACAAAAACAATTGATTGTTTTAAACGTGCTGGTCATCATATGTATGATGAACAATCAACAAATAGAAAATATTTAATAAAACTTTCATTATATTTTTCACATAATTTAGCTGAATTAAAATCTTTATTTAATAAAGGAATATATGAAGGTGAAAAATTTCGTTTAACTAAACAAGAAGCGAATGATTTTTGGAAATCTAATTTTAATGAACGGTAAGATAATTCAAAAGCAATTTTTTTTTTCTTGTAAAAATAAAATCAAATTTTTCTTTAGTACAATTGTACCTTGGGAAGAATTTAAAGAAAAATTAAATCATATTCATTCAATTCAAACTATTAATGAAGCAACAGCATTACAAAATACAATTGATTTAACAAATAATAATCATGTATCGATTTTTGAATTTGATGTTTTTACAAGGTAAACATTTTCTTATATAAGTAATAAAAGTTTATCATTATCATGTAATTATTTTATTGAATTATAAGTTAATTGAATTGAGAACTACTTATTCTTATGAGATGATAGATGCTTTTATTCTAATTGAATTAGGCAAAATTTATTAGATAAAAATCATGATGTAATAGGAATGGAACAGATCTAATTTGTACATTCAAAATATAGACGGCAATGAATGATAATTATTGATTAAGTGTTGTTTTAGATATTCGATGATAAAATTTGATGTTATCTATTCTGTAGAGAATTAGAAACAATAATTTAATGAAAAGTTTTAACAGTAGATTCTTCGCTATTCTTTTCATTACGAGTGAAATTCAGTTTCTCACATATGTACAAAGTATTCTTCAGTTATTTTCATGCATGCATAGATTATATCTATCAATGTTCTGTCCTCTAATTTTGTTCTTATCACTATTCTTCTCCATAAACTTTGTTTCTCTGTTATTTATAACATTATACGCTCTTTTGTGTTCTATTTGAAACATAAATGACACTAATAATACAGCAAGGTTAAATAATAGTAACAATAGTGTAATGTGTGAATGATATTTTTGATTACGATCAAGGATATTTCTAATTACGACCAAGGATATTTTTTCGATGACTATTTGGATGGCTGTCATGCAATAGACTAATATTTAGTTAATATTGAACATGACGACGATAAATAAATTATTTGATTATGTGATTTTCTCAGTTTTGTTTTTATATAATAGTATTTATATTATATTTCTGAATAAACATGTCAAATTTTAAACGTATATATTACAATCATAATTATGAAAAAAGCTTCTGATCAAGTAGCTGAGTAACGAATAGTGAAAAAAGTTTTCTGCTACTAGTTATACATTGTTTCTAATCTTTATTAAAAGTCATTAATGAAATAATGCTATATCTCAATATCTTATTGTTTTCACGTCATAGAAAGTTTCGTTTTTCTTGTACTAATTGATCGTTTATATTGCAAAAGTAGTAGCAAAGTCTTCAGGCTTGAAGTTCACTGTGTCCATTTTGACTTATATATTTTATTTAATTTTAAAATTAAAATAAAATTGAACTTTTAATCATTCGTAGAATACTAAATAAATTGCATTGATATTTGAACAGATAAAAAAAAACATGACATAATATTTTATGAGGTCTTAATATCTTCTTTTTGTTATTTAATTCAATCTTATAATTCTTTTATAAAATAGATTATTTCATCCATGGTCTTCTCTATTAACAAATTGGAAATTATTAGCTGTCACACATCCAGGTTTTATGGCATTTATGACTTATGATGAAGTGAAAGCAATTCTAACAAATTATATTGATAAACCAGGTAGTTATGTTTTTCGATTAAGTTGCACACGTCTTGGACAATGGGCTATCGGATATGTAACAAGTCAAAATACTATCCTTCAAACTATACCACAGACAAAACCATTAATTCAATCATTAATTGATGGTGAACGAGAAGGATAGTAAGTTTAATTTAAATTTTTTATTTAATTTAAATAACATATTTATCTAGTTATAAATATCCTAATGGAAAAAATATCCATATTGATCTTTCATCAGCATTACGACCAACAGAATCTGATCGTATATATGTATCGGAAGAACAATATGCTATATATTGTGATATGGGTACTTGTTTTGAACTATGTAAAATATGTTCAGTTAATAATAAAGATTGTAAAATTCAACCATGTGGGCATTTACTTTGTCAAAGTTGTTTAATCGCTTGGCAGGTTATACTTTGTATAAAAAAAAAAAACTTTCTTTTTTATCTTTTTATGTTTTTTTTTATTTAGAATCAAAATAGTGCTAAACCACCACCATTATGCCCATTTTGTCGTGGTGAAATTAAAGGTTTTGAATCAGTTGTTATAAGTCCATTTGATAGTGCTTTAGCAATAAATAGAAAAGAATCAAGCCCAAGTGGATCGAATGAATTTGATGATGTAAACACAAACAAATTGTTATATTAATTTCATTAATATATTTTATATATATTTTTCTTCCTATTTTAGCAAACATTAGATGCTAATCCAAATGTTCAAAATTTACAATCGCTTGCCATCGCTCGTCCATTAAATAATGAAAATTTTCATCAAGTATAATTTTTTTTTTTAATTATCCATATTTTATTTTTTATTTTTTTTCAATAGAATAACAATAACAATAATTCTTCAGATATTATGTCTTCCACACCTCCACCTATTCCACCTCGACCTGTGACTATTAAAATGAATGGAAATCGTGCATCGACTGATACAATATCGAGAACTAATTTTCAACAACTTGCCCATCAAACTATACCTCCTCCATTACCACCACCATTACATAGTAATGACGTTTTATTATTACCTCAAAGAGTTCCTACAAAAAATCAACAACCACTCTCATCAGCATCATCAAGTGAAAGTCTTAATGATCCACCTGGTAAAATTTATAATGAAGTTGATTTCTCTGTACTGTTATTTTAATAATATTTCATAGCTCTACGTTCAACTGCATCAATAGATTTAACGCCAACACGTTCTGTTATGTTACTCAATAGTACTAATAATCAAACAAGGACATTAAATCACATAGCTAGGTAAACAAATCCACAGATATATTAACTTGAGAATAAATAAACGTATTTAACCCTTTGGCGCAGATTCTAACTTGTACGATCATCTACTTTCACCAAGTTATAACAGTATTTTCTTCTTCTCGCCTATAATTAGCTTCGCACAGCATCATCGTATAATACCATTATACATATGTATATTAAGAAGAAACAAGTGAATTTTCAGATTCAGAACTACTCGAAGATCTCTGGAATTTCTACACTCAAAGTCTTTCAGTATACTATGAAGTTAAACAGAGTCCCGCAAAATCTCAGAGCTATTATTGTTCGATGGTGCTGTAGATTTTACTAAAACTCTCATGTTACAGATCATTAGATGATAAATTTTATGAGATCCGTATTATGATATGAGTTCTTCATGGAGCAGCCGTAAGAGTCTATAAGATTCAGTACCACTCTACTTGATTGAGCAATCCAAGAATTTTATGCAGTTTGATGATTCTTCATGAACTTTGCTGTTTTTCTTGACATATAAGCTTCATTTCCAATGTCTTTAAAAAAAATATCCGTCGCCAAAGCGTTAATCACAATCATGAATACATGAATTTTATTTTACAATTCTATTTTTATTTTGATGAAGACCATGGCAATAGAAATTCATGAATAGTTAAAAAGAACTTATGGCCAGGCTGTAAGTTTCATAAAAAGTGCTGCTCATTAACTGCAAAATTTGTAATGCTTCAGCCTACGACGATAAATAAACTCGGTATCTGCTGTTTTGAGATTTTTTTTTTCAAAAAAAAATTTTTTTGGTAGATTAACATATCAAAAGAAATGGATTAATAAGATATATGAATCTAAAATTATTATTTTACATGCCATTTGAAATTGTTATTTAAAAATTGTTATACGAGCTATGCTTACTTATTATCATAATTCTTATTTGAAGGACAATTGAGATAGTAAAACAGTTCTACTTACTTATTTAAAAAGACTCAAAATTAAAAGAAAACAAGAAATAACGTTATCAATCATCTTTCTCTCTCTCTTTCTCTTTCATGAACTGTTGATTTCTCCAAGAATACATAAACTAGTAAATAAGTTCTTAAAAAAAGATTCTTTTTTTTTTCTAGTCCTGTTTTGGATTCAATCACAAATAATAATGATCAATTTCGTACAATTGATGATATTCGCTTACGTTTAATTGATGAACATCATATTGAACAAATACGTATAGAAGCAGCTTTAACCTTAACACAAGGTTTATCTTTAATAAAACAATATGAACTAGCAAAATCATTTCTTAATCAAATTCAACAAGAGCAAGCATTGAATCATAATAATCATAATAATACATTTATTAATGGATCCTTTGTGAACGAACTTGAATAGAATCTTTTCTTTATATTTTATTTGTTTTTTTTTATCAACAGTGAATTAAAAAAAGAATAATTATTAGGAAATAATTCTGTAGAAAATAGAATATGTTGACATGCCAAAATGAATATTTTTTTTTGTGTGTCTTGGCAATAATATTTCTCTTTCATATATATATATATAAATCATCAATTGTCTTCTCTTTTGACAAACAGATATGTATTTAATGTTTTTCTGTTTTTGTATTATGTTGAAAAAAAATGCTTTGAATAATAAAAAAATATATGTCTTCTAGATCTAAAATATAAAAAAATGAAAGATATTACAAGTGAGTTATCGATATTATTATTATTTTGTTGGCTTATTTACAAGAGAATTCTTTTCTGATATTTATAGCAACATGTGTTGCTGCTGTTTATTCAGAAATAGAACCTGAACCACAAGTGAGATTGATATCGATTGCATGTTTAGTTTATTGACTTGTCTTTGTTTTTTCCTAGTTAAAAGATATTGAAAAATTTATGCGTGATCATGGTGCTGAATTAGTATTAGATTTTAGTTCTGATGATCTTGAAAACAAACTTGAATCGATTATACGTGAATTAAGAAATGTTCTTAAAGATTCTTTACTAGAAGGCGGTAAAGAATTACTTTTGCTTTGTTTCTATAAGAAAATGAATTTGATTATTTAGAAATGGAAATGTTTCTTAATTCCGTTATGAGTTTAATATTGGTTGTGCCTGAAGATAAAATAAATCGACCAATTTTAAATTTTTCGGAAGCTATTGTCAATGCAAATCTACCCGAAAAATATGGACCAATGAAAATCCGAGTGTGAGTTAAAGTTATCTTTTTTTTTTGAATGGAAAATAAACAATTTCATGGTTTGTTTTTCAGGTTAACAAATTTAATTTATGTTATACCAGAACATGCTAATACAGATAAATATCGTATTCTGATGGATTTGATTAAATGTGCTCGAAATCATCGATGTATCAATGCTGTATCAGTTGGAATAAGTCAGGTACATTTTTTATTAACTAAGGAAGAAAAGTTTAAAAATTATACAGTTCTTCAAAAACTAAAAATAATGTTAATTAAATGTGAGTCTTCTACTATTCTTAGAAAACTTTCTTTTTTACAAAACGATAAAAAACCGTCAAATGAAATTTATTCAATAAAAAATTTATAGGATAAAATTTGATAAACTATATTATATCAAAAATAATACTTTGAAAACTCGTTTGTAGTTTCTGTTTCTTTTGAATTTCAGACTATGAAAATGCTTCATACAAATATCATGTTGAATTTCTTTGATATTTTTACAAGTTATGAATGAATTCAAATAATGTACGACTATAAGTGATTGGAATAGAATTCTTTCTATTGAAATGTCTTGCAATCGAATCTAGAATTTTTTTCTACTACTGCAATAAAGTCTTATATAAGTCGATGATTCCACATCATTGTGATCCACACCCAAACTCGGGTTCAAGGCTTCAGACGAACAGTTAGCAATCGGGTTCGGAAATTATTCAACCAGTTCAGTGTTAGATACTTTAATAAATGTCCAAGCATTTTTAAGGTATTTGAACAATTATGAAAGCACTCTAAGACTCATTTGAGTACAAGTTCAAATTTTTCTGAACATTTTTGACTTTTTTTAAGGATACATACAGACTTTTGACTTGTGGATCATTTATTCTACTGTGTGTAGATCTATCATAGCCAAGTATGAAATCCTTTCTTTTGGCTTACTTCTGTTTCCTCTTATGAACTAGCTAAAAATGACCGTAGTCAATATTAACCCAGAACATTCAAATTCAGTCCATGCCTTATGCTAAATCTCGAATTAGATCATCCATAAAAGTATTTCCATATTATTTCGGAATAGTTTAATATAAACAGAGAAAAAAAATTCTTTCTCCTTCAAATATTCAATTTAAATTTTTATAACTTAGGTGAAAAAGTGGGTTAAAGAATGGAAAGTTTCAACGGAACAAGTTCAAGAACTCTATCGAAATATGCATGAGGCATATGCAGCAATTGGTGACTCGTATGTAATTTTTTTTTCTCTTAAACATAATAATCCACTTTAAATTATTTATTACTACTTTAGAACAAATGCATTACAACTTTTACTTGAATTACTTGGTACATATACTAAAGAAACAGCATCAAAAGCTCGTACAGATGCATTCAAGTATGATTATTTACAAACAAAACTTCTATAAATAATTTTGGTATTTTAAATTCATCTTATAGATGTATTATCAATAGTATTAATGATCCCAATGTATTCATAATGGATCATCTTCTTCTACTTGAACCTGTGAAAATTCTTGAAGGAGAAAATATTCATAAGGTAAGATTTTTATAGAAATTTTCATTTATTTATTTAAACTTAACTTTTTTAGTTATTAAATATCTTTGTTTTGGGTCGTTTACAAGATTATCTTGACTTTTATTCAAAACAAAAATCATTTATTGAATCATCAGGTATGAATAAATTATTCTTTATTATTTTGTTTTGAAATATTTTATTTAGGTGTTAAACACGAAAGAAATATAACAAAAATACGTTTATTAACATTTCTTCAAACAGCTGAAAGTCAAAAAGAAATAACATTTGATGCAATTGAAAAAGAAATGCAAATACCATCTGATGATATTGAATCATTTATAATTGAAGGTAAATATTTTTCTTCTGAAAAATATATTAAAAATAATTCAAATCAATCTATTTTAGCTGTACGAACAAAAATGATACGTTGTAAAATTGATCATCTTGCACGAAAAGTTATTATTGATAGTACAGCACAACGTACATTTACAAAACAACATTGGACATCATTAAAAGAAAAACTTGAATCATGGAAATCTAATTTAACTATAATTAATAATAATCTTAATGCATTAGTCAATGCAAGAGCAGTGACAACATAGAATTTCTTTTTCTAGGAGAATCTTTTTTTTCATTTCGTCTTTTTTTTTTGTTATTAACAACACCATTCTCTTAGACGATTTCGATTTATTCAAAAAATATATAAATAACTGTTATTGTTCGTATTGTTACAAGAAAACATTTAACGAGTACTTTGCTTTTTAAAGAAGAATTTTCAAGTTTGCATTGAAAGCTCATTAAAATGTAGAGGTTAAGTGGAAATGAAACCGAACGTCATATGATATAATGTTTTTGTAATTGAATAGCGTCAAATAATCAATTCAGTAACGATCCATTTATTTAAATTTGTGAGATCATCTATGAAGATTTATCAAACTGTATTTGAATTTATCTAGGACCACACTTATGCTCTTCAAAGACCGAGCATGAAAAATACTTGAAAATTGATGCTTTTTTTTATCAAAGCATCAATAGAGTATTTCAATCTGTGTATATGATGGCGAGCACCGCAGCTTTTTAGCATGTTGCATTCTTGAGTGATTGAAAAAATGACCTTAGTTATTATATTCGTAGTTAGAATAGTGAATTATCATAAGATCGATCATATAAGAATCACTATCATACATGTGCAGATATCCCTTATATCAATAAACACAATTTCCTACAAAAGTTCCAAACCTTGTAGAATAGACTTCAATTACATTGATTGTTTAACATCTTATATAAAAGCTTAGAGTGAAATTCTTAGATAGTTATCAGAAATTCGCTATGTATTTCTAGAAAAAAAAAGACTTAATTAAGACACCTGTAAAATTGAAGATGATAACTGAATAATCAGCAAAATGAAGTCAGTGGTTCTCTATATATTTCTTGAAGTAATAATTAACATATTATCGTATAGAAAATTGTTTAAAAGAGTATAATTACAGTCAATAAACATTCTCAATCGCGTATAATGATAAAACTTGTACTTTTCATTGATATAATCTTGTATTCTTCATACAGAATATAACTGTATATAATGTTAGTTGTTATGAAAGCAAAACTGGCAATCATAATGAAAATTACTATATTAGATATGTTGAGCTTATCATAGCAAATTCATTTTTCTTTGTCTGTTATTATCATGATCGATTTTTTGCATTGAAATCAATATATTTTCTCTTCTTATTTGATTTTATGATTTATATAAGAAAAGATAAGCTAAAAAAATGAAGTTACACAATAAAAATGACTAAAAAAGGTTCTTGTCACTTTATTATCTTATTCAATTATATTAACAAACAATCTATTCAAATTTTGTTTTGTAAAAATAATATTGAAAATATTTTTTAATATTAGTTGTTGTTGTCTAAGTGTAAAAAGAAGAGAACTTTTATTATAATTTTCGGAATATATGTTTCTCTTTCGTTTGTATTGAATATTTTTCTTGTCTTCAAATATATTTTGTTTAATTTAAAAATGTTTTAATTAAAAAGACAAAGAAAAAAGTAATTCAAAGAAAAAGGAAATATAAGTTTGTCTTTTTAATAATTAACATAATGGTTTAAGAACACATGTACTAAATTCAAAGTCATAATTACCTGGTGGTCGATATTGTGCAACAACAAACATTTTACGACCTTCTCTTGCCGTAGCATATCCTACACCAAGTCGTTTTGTATCTTTCCAAACAATTTGTGAAAAATGACCTATACTTTTGTTATAACCTGGCTTATTATAATCATACAGAGCAATTTCTGCATACCATGTAAGTGTTACTTTAACAGCTAAAAAACAATAAATCATGAACAAAATTTTCATTGATTTAAAAGAATAGCAAAAAATATACCACTTAGATTGGTAATAGGAGTTTTGCGTGTTATTGCATAAAGATTTTCTCCAAAAAGATCATGTCGATCAGTACTATGCATTAATTTACCATCTTGTATAGCAAGATGTTCAGCATAAATTTGAGCTCGTATATTTATTTCTTCATCGAGTACTAATGATGGTACACAATGACGAGCACGTAAGATATTATGAATATCCAATGAATCATTTTGAAATTTTCGATGAGCTTCAGTAAATGTTGGAATTTCTCTTGCTTTCAATGAAACATATTTATTCAAAAAATAACGATGAATCAAAGAGTCTTCTATTAAATCTGATTTTAAGTCGTTATCATTATTTACCGATTCTGTATTGATGAATACAAAAAATGTTAGTAAGACAATACTAAATACTTGTTCTTTCATGACTTTAATGTTTATTTGCTCGTTGTTTTTGCGCATCTATTTAATAGAAGATAAATCCATACATCATTTTAATGAGTTCTTAATAGTAGAATGATAATTAATGCATTTTGCTTCTATATAAAATACAAATATATCATTTATCTTTTTATTACATGTACTTCAATGAATATACTTAGCATATGACAAGAACATATTAGATATCATCAACATAGATATTCCTTCCAGAAAAATAATTTGAAAGGTTTGATTTGTTAAAATTTGGCATATTTTACGAATTATAACAAAGTATGTTATAAGAACATGAATTAGCATCTAGATATGTTTCCAATTGAAGTAAAGGCAAAATTTATCATTCAAAGTTTGTCATGGGTATTTGACATTAATCTATCAAGATTTAAGAGCGATTCGACTGTTTTATCAGAACTTCGAAATCAAAGATCGATTTACGACGACGAAAAAATAATGAATACTCTATTATGTAGTAAATCATGAATACGAAGTTATGAGAATCATCACTATAATTCCGATATTTTGATACACAAACATTTTTAAGATCTTGTATTCATTAGGAGACACTTATGGAGTCAACATTTTATATATACATCAAACATCGATTTATATAGAAGATGACCTAGTGACTTTTTTGTAAATTTAAAAGTGATAGTCAAGCAATGAAAATTTGATAGAGATGCTTTTATGACATTCAATAGATCATTTCTTATGAAACTTCATTTATGTACATGATGAAAAGTTCATCATTCTAATTTCACTTGGCTTCCTTTATAATTCTAGAATTAAGAAATATGAGATAATCAAAGAAAGAAAGTTAGTTAGTGACTTGTTCCTTGTGATTTTCTCTTTCTTTATGATCTATAGTACAAACGTGAGATAAAGCAGAAAAAACAATAAAATACTCAGTATCATTGATTTTGTCATACTAATCGTAAAGATCTTTGCCAGACTATTTTCTCAAGTTAAACTGAACCTAAAAGTTTGATTCTGATATTGAAAAATGAAGAATGTGTAAATTTTATTAATATGTACTTTTTAAATAAGCATGTACCATTATTGTGTAGACTAAAAAGTATTGGTGATGCTCGAGAAATATCATTTGTTCAGTGTTTGAATAGAATTAAGCGTCATCTTTATTTGTTCAATTATTCTGTATCTGCTATTCGAACATATTCTGAAAATGTACAAGCTTATCATTGTCTTTTAGTGACAAAAGCGAATTCTTGAAATAAAAGGTACTATATTGAAAATTGTCTACAAAATATGCTTACTTACCCATTTTCCGTGTAGTTTTCATATGGATGAAAACATTTCGACTTTCTCATTCGGTTCAAAAATAGATCAAGTGTTTTTTAAAGGTAAGCATTTTGTAGAGCTTAAAATTGTGTATCTGTTTACATAAAAAGGATAAGTTTTGTAAAACGAAGTTTTAAGAAAAGTCTTTAAGCAAAGTAATATTCCTTAGTCTATTAACGTCTGATTGATATTTTCTACTTTTCAAAAAGAAGTGAATTAGCTGATCAAACCGAACACATCACGATAGACTAGAGTCCTCTAGGACAGTTTGAAAATAGTACAATACGAAACTAACGAGACTCGAAAAAATTTTGCCTTGTAGGACTCTACGCTATAAACCAAAATATTTTACGTCACTGACTACAAGAAAGTGATTCTTTAACTACAGCTAGCAGAGTAAAAACGATGTTTATACATTTCGGAATTTGATGTTGAGCACGTAATGTTTATGTCGTAGCCAATACTTTTTAGCCTATGAGATAGCGGTACATATTTTTTCAACAAAGAATATATTATTATCTTTTATCATAAGAATCAAACATTGTAATTCAGTCTAACTCGAAAAATAAGCTTAGGCAAAAACCAACAATTTAATCTGACAGCTCATCTATTACATAACATCGACAAAACCATAGGACTGTTACCAACCTTTTGCACCACTTTATTACTCGACTTTTCATGTAATTTTCAACCAAAGACAATGTTGTTCTCTTTATGATTCATCTCTCTCTTAGATCTACAAGTTCTTTAAATAGCATTGTTTGAACATGTGTTTGTCTTCGAATAATTATTAATCCGTTCGTAAACATATTAACGAATAAACAATATATTGAAGGTGGCTCACAAACAAGATGGCAGTAGTATAATAATGTAACACAGTGACAGTATTGTTTTTTCCATTATCTTATCAAATTTTTCTACACTCCGCTGAATTTATCGATCGAGACTATTGCACTTCATATTCAATGAACTTGATATTAATTAAGAAAACTTTGTTAAAACCTTTTTGTTGTTCAGAGAATCATAATAAGCCTAGAATATCTCATTCATAGAACAATTTGATATCTAACAACGCTTTTCAAACATATAAATGATATGCTCTGAAATAAGAGCTGTTTTAATTTTGTTTAATATTCAAATAAAAATACCAGGTTAATTCATTTCTATTTCAATATTTTATCTCAGATATGAACATTAGTAGAAAATTTACTGTATATATTTGATTACATAACACTGGACTATTTTTTGTTTCATATAACTTACAAAACAAATAATATTTGAGGTCATAGTTTTTGCTTCTCTTAGTAATTTCTCAATGGTTGTGCAAGTACAACTGTAGTGCAAACTGAACAACTATATATACCTGTCAGCCTCATTCTTTATCTCATTCAATTTCGGTTATTTTTTTTTATAACAGATATATATCCTATCCAATTTGCGTCCATTCCTGATTCGTCTAGAATTTCTGAACATAAACAAAGCCTATCTTATTTGATTGGTTTATTTGATTTTTAAACTAAGAAAGAGTAAATCGTTGAAAAACATTATAGAGGTTATAGTTTTTTCCGATATAAATAGTTGAGAGATCGAATAGAATGACATTCATTTTCAATTAATATTTTATAGATCATATAGACAAATAATATCATGCGTGACGTTAATATTTCAACAACAAATGGTATAAATCATATTGAAGCAAATATATCCAGTGTAAGTTTTTTTTTCTTAACATTTCATCTTTTTCTAAATCAAGTTATTTGTAAAGATATCAAATAATGATGATATGAATCTATTCGAAAATTATATTGAACATTCACAGGTTCGTTTTTATGGAAGTTTTATTTTGAAGTTAACATTGATTTTCTTTATTAGGATGGTTATATAAAACCAAAAGAAATAGATGAACCACTTTTACGTGAAAATCCATCACGTTATGTTTTATTCCCAATAAAATATCATGATATATGGAAATTTTATAAACGTGCATTAGCATCAATATGGACATGTGAAGAAGTTGATTTAGCTAATGATACAAAAGATTGGTCACGTTTAACACCAGATGAACAATATTTTATTAAACATATCTTAGCCTTTTTTGCTGCTAGTGATGGAATTGTTGGTGAAAATTTGGTATAACAAAAAAATTAAATTCTTTGAAAATATTGATTTTGTTGCTTTAAATTTTTAGGTAGAAAAATTTTCATCTGAAGTTCAAATTCCCGAAGCACGTTGTTTCTATGGTTTTCAAATAGCTATTGAAAATATTCATTCAGAAATGTATAGTTTACTGATTGATACATATATTAAAGATCTACGTGAACGGTATGTAAATAAAATTTATGAGAAATTTTATTTTGAAAGTTTGTTTGTTTGTTTTTTTTTTGGTAGTGAGATGTTATTTAATGCTATATCAACATTACCTTATGTAAAAAAGAAAGCCGATTGGGCTATACGTTGGATGAATGAAAAAACTCCATTTGCTGAACGTTTAGTTGCATTTGCTTGTGTTGAAGGAATATTTTTTAGTGGTTCATTTGCAGCTATATTTTGGTTACGTGAACGTGGTATTATGCCTGGTTTGACATTTAGTAATGAATTAATAAGTCGAGATGAAGTTTGTTTAATATAATATAAATTAGAATCGATTGAATTATTGTTTTTGTGTAGGGTTTACATACAGATTTTGCTTGTTTATTATTTCAACATATTGTTCATAAACCAAGTGTTGAACGTATTGAAGAAATTCTTCGTGATGCTGTAAATATTGAAATTGAATTTCTTACTGATGCTTTACCATGTTCATTAATTGGTATGAATGCATCAGCTATGGCACAATATATTAAATTTGTTGCTGATCGACTTTTAGTTGAACTTGGTTATTCAAAAGTAAATTTAATGTTTTATCTTAGATTAATTTAAAATATATTTCTTTTTATTTTAGATTTATCATTGTGATTGTCCATTTGATTTTATGCATAATATATCAATAACTGGTAAAACGAATTTTTTTGAAAAGCGTGTTGGTGATTATCAACGAGCTGGTGTTATGGCCGCTATAACTGAACATAAATTAGCTCTTGATGCTGATTTTTAAATTATTGATTGTTTGTTTGTTTATTTTTGATCTCTATAAGATATGTTCAGATTATGTGTATTTCTCATTTCTATTCATATGTGTCTATGTCTGTAGTTTTTCTTGTCTTTGGATTTTTTTTTTCTATGTATGCACTATGTGTAACAACATGCGAAAAAGCTAAATATATATGTAGATTGTGAAAACAAAAGAAATTTTTCATGAAATATTTGTTCAATTTAGATGAAATGAGAATAGGATGTTATTTGAGTGTTGCTATTTGGAATTAAGAAAAAAAAAAAAAAAAAAAGAATATTTTTAATTTATGAAATATAATTCGTTTAGAAAATTTATTTTGAATGAGAATGTTTTCTATGAAAAAACATTGTTAAAAGAATACTCTTACTTAATTATTAATTTTTTTTTTTCGAACGTTAAAGTACGCAATTCTTTTGCATTGATAAGCATAATTAAGTTTGTAGTTTTAATCTTTATTAGACATCTAGAATGAGTCATCAGTATGAAATTTATAATTAAGTTTGTGAGTATTATCAATATTGCTTTTAATTTAATGAAATAAAAAAGCCGAAAGGAGTTAAATAGTTCGATAATTCATAACATTCTCAATCTGTTTCACCTGAAAATCAAAACCATATGGTCTCAATTGAGAACATGAAGCGGTTAGATGTACATTTGTATGCCTTATAACTATCAGCGAAGATCGACGAAATTTAGTATACCTGGTTGTATTGTCTATAGTGACTTTTGAAAAAACAAATGACTTTATGATGCCGTCGTATAAGGTCTGAAGTATCACGAATTTTAATGTGGTTTGAATTATTTGAATGTTGAAAGGATTCTATTGATTATACTTTATATGATACATAGGAAATTGTACGTAAAATTAGTAAAAATCCACCAATATTACGAAATATTATATGTGGAAATAAGCCATTCGTCATTTATATTTCGAAGAAAAAGAAAGTACGTTTTTTTTTGTTCTACAATAAAATATGACTCGATTGTTATTAATTAGAAAGAATATTTTTTTCATTCAAGTCTCTTCGATGAAAGCAAAATAACGAACGTTTCTTTATTCTTCGAAAAAAAAAGACGAAAAATAATGTATCATATTATTTGCTCACATCAATATGTATCAGTCATCGTATATTTTTACCCAACTTTTCTTTCACACTCTCATTTCATCATATTACAACTATATAAAAGTATTTCCATGTCATTTACTTTTAGATATTAGAAAAATAATATGAATCAAGTACTTATTACATTGATTATTTTTTTATGTTGTTATTCGATAATATTAGTCAAATGTGCAACATCAGATGATTGTGAATTACCATCTGAAACAGGACCATGTCGTGCAATGATTCGTTTATTTTATTACAATTCAGCATCAAAAGAGTGTGAACAATTTATTTATGGTGGTTGCAGAGGTAAAATAAAATGATATTTATATGAATATCTAATATTAATTTTTAGGTAATAACAATCGTTTTCATAGTAAACAAGAATGTATCGAAACATGTGGACATGGTAGTCAGCATAACGCATAAAAATATCGAATAAATATATGTATATATAGTTTTTTTTTTTTGTCAAGAAAGCTTTATTCTAACTGATAATTTAATAATTGTTTTGTTTTTCTTCATTTCATTGTTTGCAAATTCTATCATTTAAAATATTAAATAAATCTATAAACTTAATTCAGAACGTGTATTCTTTTTTTTTTCTTTTGGTATAATTATGGTTGGAAGATGTCGCTGATTATAAAATTTTCTAGATTGGTTAGAAAAATTTAGTAAAATTTAAATAAAATTTATGATATTCGTCCGACCGACATGCACACAAGTTAACCATAGTGTAGTTGTTTTTTTTATCTTTAATTGTTCCGATTCGAATATACTATTATTAAATAATTTTTATAGAAATATTTTAGTTCGATTTTCTTTTCTTGTTTTATTTTTATTTCGATAATGATTCTTTAGTTCTAGTAAATTGAATTTAAATTATATTTAAATTGATTATTATTTTTATTTTTTTTTTGTTGAAGAATATTGTAATCATGCCCGAAGAACCAATTCCATTATATACAATCAAAGATGTTTGGGCACATAATGTTGAAGAAGAATTTCGTTCTATACGAAAACTTGTTCTTAAATACCCTTATGTTGCTATGGTTAGTATAAATTTTACATGTTTCATTTTGAGAAAATAGAACTAAAGAAATTTCTTTTTTGTATGATAATGTTGAATATGTATGAGAACAATTAGAAATATAATTGTATCGAGAGAAATATATTAGACTTCAAATCAAATATCAACTTAGTAATTAGTATAAAATGATCTATCTATATCATTTTAATTGATATCAAAAAATCAAAAATGAATATGTTGATACAGAGTTAGAATCGTTAATATTTGTCTTTGTATGGAATCATTTGAAAATCATCCGATTAAATGTTGATAACTATTAGAAAGAAAATTAAAAAATATTATTCATATAGATCTAGTGAAAAGCATCGAAACAAAAAAACTGTCGAACAGAAAAGAGACAGTGATGTATCACCTTTCGGCATTTTTCTATGCGCAATTTTTCTTTTCAATGTTTTCCATTAAATTCATTCATATTCTATCTGTATAGTACTAACTCAGTTATTCAAAGAAAAATAGTTTGCTGAACGCTGAAAGAAAAAATCTATCTTGTGACTTAGATAAGAACAAAGCCAGCCTTTTCATGGAAACATATATATATTAAAACATTATGTGGACAAGGAAATTATGAAATATTGAAAGGAAATAGGAATCTATTTACGAAAGAACCTTCTTACGATTCCAATTATTTTTTGCCAACAGATACTATATATTTTTCTAATAAAAAATCAGTAAAAACTGGATCTCAGAGTTTCGAAAAATTATATTTTGATTTGAAACTTTTTGTATATAGAGAATTCAACTATAGTAACTTACATAAAAAAAGAATTCAGAAGTTCCACAAAAAGTCTCTTCAAGATATGACACTTTCAAACTACAGACTCGTTTCTATGGATCATATATATATATATATAACATGCATTTATTCTATGGAAGTTGGCATAATTGAGTTCTCTATATGCGCAAAGCTTCAGACAAAAATTCAATAACTTAGGTAAATCTCAATGAGAATCCAAATTATTTAAATCCTAAACAAAACAGCTGAGAAAGTTCCTTGAACAGTTTTCTATATCAGTAAAACAGTATTTTATCAAATTTCTCAAAATCAAACGGGTCCTACAGTGAATAGTTCCTTAAAAGACTAACGTTATTATACATCCATAGATTGATTAATATTTTCTTTCTATTGAAAGATGAATTACTCATAAGAGCAATAGAATACTTAATTAAAGAACATATTAATTTAATTATGAAATAAAATATTTTTTTTTTTTGTTTTAATTTTAGGATACGGAATTTCCGGGTATTGTTGTTCGACCATTAGGAGAATTTAAAACAACAGCAGAATATCAATATCAATGTTTAAAATTAAATGTTGATTTTTTAAAAATTATTCAATTAGGTTTAACATTTATGGACAGTCATGGAAGAAGTCCACCAGGTGTTTGTTCATATCAATTTAATTTCAATTTTAATTTAACGTAAATATATATATATATATAAATTTCTTTTCTTTTTGTTTATTATTCAAATAAAAAATTTGTTTAGAATGGATATGTATGCACAAGATTCTATAGAACTTTTACAAAAATCTGGTATACAATTTAAAAAACATGAAGATGAAGGTATTGATCCACATTTATTTGCTGAATTATTAACAACATCAGGTGTTGTATTTATGGAAAATGTAACATGGCTTTCATTTCATGCGTATATATTAATTATATTTTCAAAATATTTTTTATTTCTTATTGTTATTTATTTAGTGGTTATGATTTTGGTTATCTATTAAAAATGCTTACAGGAAAATTATTACCTGATACAGAAAATGATTTTTTTGAATTATTAAAAATATTTTTTCCAACTATTTATGATGTTAAATATTTAATGAAGAGTTGTAAAAGTCTTAAAGGTGGTCTTGAAGAAGTAGCTAAACAACTTGAAGTAAAATATTCTAATTGAATTATTATTTATTTATGTTATTATTATTTTTTTTTTTAGATTGAACGTATTGGTCCTCAACATCAAGCTGGTAGTGATAGTCTTATGACAGGTTTATCATTTTTTAAAATGAAAGAATTATTTTTTGAAGATTCTATTGATGAAGGAAAATATTCAGGACATTTATATGGTCTTGGAAATTCCGCTTTTCCAGCTGGTGGTTTTGGTGGTTATGAAAATGATTTTATAAATGTTGTTGAGAATGAAAGTCCGTAGAAACAAAAAAAATAGATCATCCAACATATGTTTTTCTTGTTTATTCATTAGCGTTATATGTATTATTTTAACTGTTCATTTTTCTTTTCATTTTGTTCATCGTTATGTGATGCCATTTGTACAAAAAAAAAAGCAGATCAAGAAAGTTTGAAAAAAATTAGAACTCAAAATGAACGAACTTTGATGAAAAATTTATTTTTTGATGATTGAAATTCGATTCTGATTCAAATAATCATTTCAATAAGTGGAATAAAATATACTTAATCGAGTATTCGAATTACTATACTGTCATAATGATTAATTAATTCATCTTCATAAGTAATGATTTATCAATATTTTGAAGTAGTTTCATAGTCCGCTATTTTAAGATCGTTTGATTAGATTCTACTAGCATACATTAATATACTTAAAACATAAAAATTATGTGTTCATGTAGTACAAAATAAACTACATGATAATAAGACTTAATGTGTTTAATTAACTTGAAAATTTTATATTGAGTATTAACATGTTTGTTTCTAATGAGAAAAAGTCATAAATTACTTTTTAGCATGAATTATATTCGAACATAGAATGTAGTGAGTAAATAAATATTCTAAAGTGATTCGAGTAACTCGATATTTTTTTGTGCTGAGATATAGAATTTTTAGTGGATTTTCCGTATAGGGTTCTAAGTTTTAATCGAAAACATATTTTTGAATTTCAACCTGATATTTTGTCTGTATAAAAGTGACAATTAAACTAGACGTTAGACAAAATCTCAGAATTTTTTTTTCACTAAGTTTCTGCGAAATGCCTATATTTTAAAGAAATCATATCTCAGAAAGATTAAGTGAAAAAATTCTGAAATTTTGTCTACTAACTAGTCAAATCGTTGCCTTTACATTGGCAAAGTTTCAGAAGAATATTCAAAAGTATGATTTCACTTGAAAAATAGTGTCCTATAGGAAAAATTTACTAAAAATTCGATATCTCAACAACAAAAGCTTAACTGCTCGAATCACTCAAGAGTATCTACTTACTCACTAGATCCTATCGATTGAATATAGTTGCAATTCGAAATCGATTCATCAATTGGAGACTATTTTCTCATAAATAGAATTAATGGATATTATATTATAATATTAATGTAGTATAACATTACATGTTGTAGAATTCTTGTTAAACGTGAATAATTTTCTGCTAAAACTAAAATAACATAGTATGATAGTGACATCTATTCTAACCGATACCTTTTACAACATTAATAAGTATTAACTAAAAGAAAATAGGATTTTTCTATGTAAAACTAAAAATTATTTTGCATTATTATGCTGATAAACCAGAGGGTGACACATCAAATGCATGTAACCTTATCTCTTTCTTCCTGCTTGCTGATCATTTGTGTTTGATAAGTAAAACTTCACGAGGTACATAAAATAATGGCATCGAACGAACAAGCTCAAGATGAAGCAAAACCAGTGGTTACTCCTGCCAAAAAGATTAAGTAAAATGTTATTGAAAAGTAAATAGTCAAATTGATAGTTTTTCTTTCATTAAAGCCATACATGGTATCAATCCGAAAGTACAGTTGTTGTTGTAATTCCTATTCGAAATGTACAACGAGATCAATTGCATGTCGAATCCACTGAAAATACAGTACGTTTTTTTTTTTATTATTTGCAATTGTTTATATAATGATTTTGCGATCTTTTCTATTTAGTTAAGTGTTAATATCAAATTACCATCCTCAAATAGTGAATATAATCTTGAACTAGATCTTGCTTATTCAATTAATTCTAATCGTACGGATTTTAAAATTAATACAGCAAACGTAAGTTAAATATCATCTTTTTTTGTTTTTTTTTGAATATATTATTCGAATCTTTTTTTTTTATATAGGTTGAAATTCGTTTGTATAAAGTTGATGCTATACAATGGACATCACTTGATGCTCAACATAAACCAAATGTTCCACCAAGTAAACTTATATTTTTATATATTCATAAGAATAAAACAGAAACATTACTTTTTCTTTCTAGTTAGTATGAATCGTGCTCCTACTGTACAATCTGTTACACCAACATATCCATCATCGAGTAAAAAAGCTAAAGATTGGGATAAACTTGAAGTTGAAATAAAGAAAGAAGAAAAAGAAGAAAAACTTGAAGGTGATGCAGCACTTAATCAGTACGTCATTTTTGTGAGTATTGCAAAAAAAAAAATTAATTTAATTTTTATATAGATTATTTCAACAAATTTATCGTGATGGAACTGATGAACAAAGACGAGCTATGAACAAAAGTTTTGTAAGTCATATTGTGATAACTTTTTTGTTTTACTTTATCATATACATATCTATTTATATTTATATATAGATGGAATCAGGTGGCACTGTATTAAGTACTAATTGGGATGAAATTTCCAAGAAAAAAACAGATATCAAACCTCCTGATGTGACTAGATATTCTTTATGTGTTTTAAAATTCTATTATTAATTTTTCTATTTTTTTTCAGGGAATGGAATGGAAATCATATGATGATTAACATATGGATAATGTTATATTTTCCATGGACGACGTTATATATCGAATGATATGCATGGACTTCTGTGATTTGTGTTGAATTTATTCTTCATTTGCACTTAAAAACAAAAATTTTAGCCTTGTCTAATTTAACTTTTTACAGAAAATAAACTTGACTTGAATCAAAAAAATACAATAGCATTCTCTCATCAATCAGAGGATATTCTCTAATCTATTTGATCGATAGTTCACACATTGATTGAATAATGGACGAACCTAAAGTTTTGAGACAATACTTTTTTTTAGCTTCCTTGAAAGTGTTTCCGAGAAGTTACAAGCTATGAACTAGGGTTAGCATATTGTGCACCTTTCGAATATAGTCTTACAAATTCATCTCAGTTGCTGTGCAAAAGTAGTGAGATAATCTTTAAAAAATGCGTTTGAACAGGAAGTGTAAACCGAAGTTTTTCGTATATATGGTGGCTCATTTTGATCTGTTTGAAAAACTCTCAGACAAACCAGGAAACTATGAAGGATTATTAGAATGTTATGCTTTCTTTGAAAATGGAATTAGAAATATTGTGTCTATATTTGTTCGAAACAAATGAAGAAATTTTTGAAAGACTCAAAAATATTAGATTGAATAGGGAACCAATAGTCTGTTATTGATCCCTATAAATGTCTTTTCGACGGTATCAAAAAATATTTACTTTCGAGTAACAGTAATGTAAATACAACAATGTATGGCAAGAATTTTCGTTCAAATTATTTTCTTGTTGAGCCTTTCAAAAGGCCATTTCAATTGTTTTTAAGAAAAGTCTCAGAGTAAATTGCTGGGTCTATATTCAAAAAGAGCACAAAATTTTAGCCATAATCTATAGGTTTTGATTCTTCGGAAACACTTTCAAAATAGTCAAAAATAAACAAAGACTTTTGATTCATTCGTTAAAACATTTAAATATCAATAAAGCACTAGCTGATCTTTTACAATAATTTAGAGATCTTTTTTATTAAAATAATTGTTATAGTTCTACAACAATGGATGAGATTTTGTAACGAACAGTGACCTCGAGTGATAATCTATCTGATTATTTAAAGAGTAGTATGTCTCTTTTTTTTTCTTTGATTTGAAACATCGAAATGATTTTCAACTTTTTTATTTCGATTGATGACGTGATCTGTGTCTTTTCGATTTCGATTTTCTTTTTGAATTACGTCTTTTTGATTTTGATCGATGTCTGGACTTTCGTTTTCTAAGTTTAGAACGACTATTAGTTTTTCGGTCTATTGATTTTGTTCGACTTCGTAATTTTTGACTTTTTACTTTTGATGATCTACGTGATTTACGTCTGTTTGATTTCGATCGACGACGTGATTTGTTAACATTGATCTTTTTGTCATTTGATTTCGATCGATCTGAATGAAAAACAATATCAAGAGAATCACTAATATTACATTATTTAATTGTTGATCATCTACGGTCGAAACAAAAAATTTAGTAAAAAACGAAAATTATAACTTTGGTTAAAAGCAAAATGATGATTCGTTCACTAACGTTTTTCCTTTAATTTTTGCTCCTGTTTTATAGTTTGGTTTTGATCTTTCTCCAATGAAGAATCAGTTGGTTTTAGAAGATGTTGACTATTTGTTGATGGTGAAATATTAACTGTATTTTGTTCTATTGAAATATTTGTTTCTTTAGGTAAATTTTGATCTGTTTTGTTTTTATTATTTGTATCAGTATGTATCACATTCATATTTAATTGTCTTTCTTTTGTCGCATATTTTAATGGTGATGATGGTTTTTGAGAAGAAGACGATTTAAATCCATCATTTCCATATAGATTACGAAGAAATGCTTTATTTTGTGTCACTCTATACTGATTTATAAAATGTGGCCAAGCATTTTCTTCTTGAATATCAGAATTCCAAACAAATGTATTATTATCAAGCATATTCTTCATAGCTCTAGCTATCGGAGGTAATTTTTCTTCTGACTCATTCAAAACAAAACGTTGATACCAAAGTGAATCGGCTAACATATCGAACGATGGTATGGATAATGTCTGTTTTTCCTGAGCATCGATATTTTCTGATACAGGATAACTTGATGGTTCCAAACAGGGCGAATAAGCGAAATTTTGTGACTTGTGAACATTCATATCAGAAAATAGAGATTGTTGTTGTTCATTTTGATATAGATTAGAAATATTTGAATAATTAACTGGACGATGTATCCATAGCCAAAGAGCTAATCTAATACTTTGACCTATGCGTTTAACATAATCAAATGTACCTTAATGATAAATAATAAATCTTTTCTTAAGATTATTTAATAAGCTATTTTTTTTTACGTTTAAAAATATTCTTATCTAGATCATATTGAAGTTTCAATATAGCTATTCGTTCAGCATCCCAAATAGAGACTAATTGACGAAATCGTTTTGTTTCTTCTTCGTTTTGTTCGATTTCGTCCCATCCATAGTTACGAACATAATTTGATGTTTTGGGTGGTTCAACTAAACTTATTTACAATAAAATTACATTTTTAAAAGTAACACTCAATAAATAAGACTTCCTTTAATATCTCACTATTTTGAAATATATTTCGATTTTTCGGAGGATCTAACAAATTCCACGGTTCGAAATGCTTTTCCGGTGCAAAATATGAATCAACAATATGTGTATATCCAACATTTTCTTTTTTAATCTCATCATGTAATGATGATTGATTATTCACTTCATGTCGACAATATGTTTTCATAATTAATCTAATCAAATAAAATCTATTTAATTAAAGGCGCAAAAAAGAAATATGAACTGATTGTCTAATTCGTTTTTCTTCAAAAAATAATGTGTACGAGTTAGGAGAATATATTTATTTTTATCAAGAAAAGAAAATATTGTTATTAAATTAATTGATGCTGTTAGTGTTCAAGTAATCATTGCTGTATTACTATCAGTTATGAATGATAATGATGTTCATGTAGCGTCAGTCGACGTCATAGATAATGTTTCGTTACGGTTTTCATATTATTGTAGATGTAATTAATCAAGTTGGTTTTTTTCCCGATGAGAATGCTTTGATAGAAAAGATAATAAAAAGAAATAGTTTATTAAAGATAATTTACGTTTTCTTATTAGTTTCAAAACTTACAGATGATTTACAATATTATGATAGTTGATCATTTTTTTTTCATAAATGGTAAAATTCGTTTTGTTTTGTTAGATTTCGTAGAAGAGATGTTGTGCGATTGATCGGTATTTGTATTTGATATAATGATATCTTGTTGAGCCAAATGATCCATTACATTATTCAAATTATGTTCATTTTCATTTTTATTATTTGATGTTTGAAAATATCTCGATGATGAAATCAGTTTTTCTTTGATTGGTATTGATGATAGTAAAAGATTTTTCTGAGAAGGATGATTTGTTATTTTATTGCATGATGAAAAGTTTTTCAATGATTGATTCATATTATTTTCGAGATTGATATCTTTTTCAAATGGTTGATTTTTAATCGATATTGAATTCGTCATCGAATTGAATGATGAAGAACATGTTTTTACGTCTATCTGATTTGATAAATTTGAAATTTTGGTATTGTTTTGATCTATTTTTAATATGTTATTAGATTTTGATTTTGATTTTGATTGTTGTTCGTCAAGTTCTACGTCGAGCAAATGTTCGTTTCGATTTAGTTTTTCTTTTTCAACATCATTATCGAGTTCAGATTTACTTGATTCGATTAAAACTATACATAGATAAATTGAAATAATGATATGATATCAGATTTTATCTCACTTGGAGATGGCTTTGTTATAAGTGGATGTACAATGGGTGATGACATTGCAGAAGTAGTTCCTGGTGGATCATTAATATGAATTGTTTGTAGATTTTCTTGAGATAATTTACGTTTCGGAAGTGATCTAAGTTTTGTAGGATTTGAAATGATATGTTGATCTAATGGTTCTGAAATATGCACTGGTGTTTGAAATTTGTCATCAATAACAGCTGATCTTGTCTTTTTATTCATGTCACTTCGATATTGATCTCTTGATGTCTCTAAATCGATAGGTATTGAAAGCATATCTTCTGCAATATGTTTTTGTTTGGTTGAATCTATTAATGGAATTTTATTCTCTATTTGAATTATTTTTTCTGGTGTTTGTTCGAGTAATAATGAAGTAACACTATGTAATTTTGTTGGTTTTTTACTCAAATCTGGAAGCGATGTAGTTCTTTGTAATTTATTAAGAGTAACTAACATTATAAAAAATATATTATTTTAATGATTTTGATGATATGTATTCACATACTATTCGATTTTGAACGAGTTGCATGCAATTTAGTTAATTGAGCAATAGATTTAGCAAGTTGTTCATGTGTCATTTTGTCTAAAATGTAACAACTAATAAATTTTAGAAATAAATAAATATATGTACTTAAAATATCAGCAAGAAATAATGATGGTTTAGGCAGTAACATGTTACTTGTTGATTGTGAATTCGACTCGTTTCTAGATACATTTGGTTCATGGTCAATTATATTTGATAAATTAGTTAAAGATATATAGGAAGTAGTTTGTTTAATATCTTGATCACTCATTAAAGATGATTCTTCAATAGCATCAATATTTTTATTATGTAATATTGTTTGACATTGATATGATGCAATAAATACAGATGGTTGACAATTGGTTTCATAACATTCAATACCATTCGGTGAAATGAATAAGGAATAGAGTTGGCTTTTTTCAAGACGATTATGATAATTGATATATCGATCACGTTGATGTTGATGAATTTGATTGGTAGTACTAGTTACAGATTGTTGAAATAAAAATGAATCAACTTCTATATAAATCAAGAGAAAAAAAAAGAATTCAAATTCTAATTGATTGTTTGAATTTATTTGTAATTCTACTAAACCGTCTGTTGTAAAGTTGGTCAATGGTAAAGATGTAGTGAGTAATTGTTGATTTTCTTTTTGATTAGATAATAAAATATCCACATTCTGAGAATGATGATGACCGATGGCATTTTGGTTTTGAGAGAAATGTCCTGCCACACAACAAGAAGACTTTTCTATCACATTGAAATTATTATACTCAATAATAATTTATCAAAAAGTTGTATGTTATAAAATGTATCTGAAAGCTTATGTAATTACGTATCATAAAATTCATTATTCATACATATATTGTACTACAACATCCGTGAATATTTTTTGACACTTAAGAAGTTTATCAACGCATTATCTTCATATCGTTTCTATCGCAAACAAAGGACATAATCACCTTACTTACTACGCCATAAAAGAAGTTGAAATGATGATTGTACTTCTTCTATATTTGATAGCTCTTGTCGTTGTATACACTATAGTAAAAAATTATTGTATAGATTTTGTTCAAATGAAATATATGAGAGTTTTATTTTCATCAACATTTGATCTCAGTGGTGTTTTTAGTTTAACACATTAAAATTATTCTTGAATTTACTTTATTTCGATTGAAAAATTGTTTCATATTAAGTACACTACTGACTAAAGTTGACAATGAAAATGCTACAGATGATTGTATAGTTGATGCTATCATCATTGAAATGGTAACATTATTAAGAACTTATTCTGTTTGTTCGCATAGATTAATATTATAGATGTACATTGATTGAATAATGTGTACACATACGAATCAAATACAACACACAATTTCGAAATCGTACTAATATTAAAAAAATATATTTAGCAAAGCGCCAATTATGTTACACTTAAGATTATTTTTTAGTGATATACCTATTAGATGTATATAGAGAAAATCATTCTCAATAAAACTTTATACATGTTATAAAGTACAACAACAGATAAATGACAGAGATAATAGTTTGAAATTTACTCTCTATATTGAAGTTATATCGAACAAAGAGGCTAATCCTACTTTTAATGGTTTTAATATCCATGATAAGTTTTATTAAGATTTGTGTATAAAAATTCATCACACAAACAAATTGTTTTAATAATAATAATAAGGATTCACTTCAAGTATACGTAAATAGAATTGTCAAAGAATATATACGGATTCGTTTCAAATATAAATATTTTGTATGCCATCACTATTAAATTGACGATCTCGATGTATAAATCACAATCATTCGTCAACATATTTGCTATTTCGCTGAGATTTTATGACCGAAGAAACTAATATCATAATCAAATCTTTGTTTATTTGTTCGTATTAATGATTATCTAGAAAGTCAAACGTACTGTAATCTTTTCTTTATAGTTACAGCATTTGACTCTGTTTACATTCATAATATGATACGGAATTAATAACTATTAATAATAAGCCTAACGATTTTTCTAGTTTGTTTTATCATGCAACAGTATTCGACTTATGGTTCTTGTCTATTTTATTGTTTAAATCATCAATAAAGAAACAGTCACAACAGTACATTTAATGATAGAAGATGAAGCAAAAGAAGAATATATGATAAAAAAAACTGATCACGATTAAGTAAGATACATACATGTGTCAGTTTTGAAGTTCGCCACTTTGTTGCTCATGCACAGATGCGCATGAGACAAGATATATAGGAAATTATATGTATTACTAACCATTAAAATTGTCAGTCGTTAAAAAACACAAAAACAAATGAAAAACAAAACAGCGTTCATAAAAGTTCTATTTGTTAGTGGATTTGTTTGTCAAAATCAAAGAACATGTTATAATTTCCATGAATTTCGCATCATCAAATCGAAATATGCATCATTATCAATCGATACACTAACACCTGAATAATAATCAATGAATTCGTCACGTGTTACCTGCAAATAATAATTGAAAAAAAATTTTACATCAAGAAAAAAAACACGTATGAATACTTACAACACCATCTTTATGTTTACCATAATCAAAACAATCAAGAAAGTGTCTCAATACTTGATCTTCACTCCATTCACCATTCATATATTTTGGATGGTTTTTTACTATGTAAACACCTCGTAAATCTTCAACTGTTATGTGACCATCATGATTTCTATAAAAATATGTAAATATTCTTTAAATCGAAGCGATATCTTTATTTCTATATACTTATCGAGTTTAGCAAATGCTTTAGCAATCAAATCAAGACGAAAACTATTCAGTGGAGGCTAGAATATTGATATGAAAATCATTATATGACATAAGATTTAAGTTCTTTCACAGTATAAAACGTACTCTTAATCGTCGCAGAAATTCTTCGTAATCAATGCTACCACTTTGATCAATATCCATTAAATGAAAAAGCTCTGCAATTTCAGTTTTTGAAAAATTCAAACCATATTCTTCAACCCCTTTCTTGAATTCATCGAAGCTCAACTTTTTACTTCGATCATCATCCATAATACGAAATAAACTACAAAAGAAATGAAAAATATAGAAAAATATATTAATAGAAATCCGTTTTGATTTTCAACTAGTCTCAGCCACAGGTAAAGATAAATTATTCATAGTAATAGTTAGCAAAATATTTCTATAAGTAACAATCTCGGTGTATAAGGCATACGTACATGGATAATCCTTTAATGCCTTGTGCTCCTCGAGCCAAACATGCTGCACGTAAACGTTCTAACGGGTTTGTAGATGTTGCTAATGCTTGTCTTGATTGAATTTCGAGTTCTTTTTGAAGACGCGTTGTAGTTGACATGCTAGCTAATGTGTAGAATAAAATAGTTGCTATATACTTTGATCTAAAATGTATCTAATATCGAATGAATATATAGACTATTTATAAGTTATATATAAATATGTATAAATATAACTCCTCCTCCTTTTTGGATTAGCGATAACTATTGTAGCACGGTTTATGCGTTTTAAATAAATTGTACTGGCGACATCACCATGCAACGATTTTAAATCAAATAAGTTGTTATGGCAACAATTATAAATATTGATAACTTTGATGAGTTTCGTTGTTAAATGAAGTTTTTTGAAAATTTTCGTATATTCTATTTTGAATTTTAAAAAATTTTCTCTTTTTTCCAAAAGAAAAATGAACCAATTATTTAACAACAAGTGGAGCGCTACTATCCATTTTCAAGAAAACAACGGTCAGATTCACGATCAACTCTTTGTTTTCGTGCACGATTGGGTTATATTTACCAACTGGTCATCGGAGGCTCAATGGTGACATTTACGAAAGCAATCATTCGATACTTTGAAAATTTTTTGTTGAGCATAATTCATTATTTCGATCGATAGAACTTAACAATTGAATCATGTACTAAGTTGACTCCCATTAATTATTACTCCCACGCAAAAATTAAAAGCGTCATCTGTGGGAGATCATAAAATGATGATAAAGACTCATTTACTATATTTTCATTATCTATTTTATATTTAGATTATTTGATATAAACATATTCATTTATATTCTTATTCTTTCTTCATATATAAGTTTTTCTATCCATCTCTTGTATCTAAAACGATTAATATGGCAGCAGCAATGGCATATTGTACAAACAGTGTTTTCTATCAACATTCATTGACTAAAGCAAGAACACAGTTTACACCAGTTTCTCGTCGAACAACTTTATCACCATCAACATCTGCTTGTTCTACTGTTTCAATATCACAAATTGAACAATCATCCATTATAAAAACAATAAAAAATGATGAAAATAACAATCGTAATCAAATTGAAACTACAGATATAGCAAATATCAATGATATTGTTGATATTACAAGTGATGTTGATGATATTGACAACGATAATCAATTCGAGAAGGATATTCATGAAGAACAATTTCTAGCATTTGTTGGTCTTCGACATAAGACTAAAAAACCAATTGTACGTGAACTAAATTTACGATCATTAACAAAACGAATAGCATGTCCAGTATGTCTACTTCCACTACCAAAATATGCTGAACGTGTTCGACAAGCTTTATATATTCGATTACCATTCTTAAAATTTTTAACTATTACATGTGATATTGAAAATTTTTGTTCAACAGATGAAAATGCAAAAGCACAAAGTCTTCTACCACGTTCAACAACACAAAAACGTGCTTTATCAACATTAAATCGAAGTCAAAGAAAACAGAAATCACCAAGAAAAGGTAAACATCAAGTAAATAGATGAATATTTTCATACAACCAAGCTTTAAAAATGAAAATAATTCAATAAGCAGAAAGCATATATAGTATTCAAAAGTAATAACAGTAATAACATTCACAAATAAAAATTGATATCATGTAGTAAATTTTTTCACGAAAGACATATTCGACTGATATGAAATCAGTCTATGATCAATTAAGTTTGACAAAATGAAGCTCTAAATTGTGTCTATGAAAGTAAACTTAATTAAAAAATTCTTCTGTAAAGATTTTTTAATTTTTCTTTTTTTGAAAATTAAAAGTAATTGATTCATAATAATCTTTCATTGATCACAATTAGATCAAAATTACAATATACTCATTCATCTTAGCTGTATCAAAAATGAACTCGTTTACATTATTTCGTACTATGAGACCTGTACTAATTCATTCTGATTCATGTTTTATCTACTTTAACCTTATCTCCTACGCAGATAGTACTGTATGACTTTCACTATTTTTCTTCTTAGAATTTCTGCACCGTGAATATCTTTATTTAGCCCACATGAATGAAAGTTTACATGTAAAGACTTACACGTATTGAATAGGTATAGCTGACCTTTTCTTCTTTCCAATATTCTCTCTATATTATATAACTTCAATCACCGTTTACATAATAATTTTTCGTACGCCACCTATTAAAACCTGTCAATATGATTGTAAAGAGTTGACCAATTAGAAATCAGTGATAAATGTACAAATTTAATCTAATATATAAATGATTAATTAAAAAAACAAACTTATTAAGACGTAGTATAGTTATAGTTGTTGTATTTTTTGTTTTAAATGAATCTATACTTAAATATTCTGCAATATCATAACTTTTATAATTATTATCAGCAACATTCATTTTTCATATTGTGTAATTAGTAAGTTTTCTAAATCGATAAAAAGAAATAAATGTTGTGGATGTTCAATTGATTATTTTTTTGTGATAATTAGAAAAGAATCTCATATTTTATTTTATACAGACTTAATCAACATGACTCCTAAAAATTCTCGTAATAATACAAGTAAACCCTCAATGAGTAAATATGTTAATTCAATTCTTCAATGTCATGTTGTTCTTGATCGTTTGGAACAATCAACAATTGATGAAATAATACAAAATTCAACTGAAAATAATAACAAAATCATTGCACCCATAGTTCGTATTATTTATCTGAGAAAATAAAATTATTTTATCTAGATTATTTATTTTTATCATAGTCAACATCAAATCGATCATTACGTAAATCTTGTAAAGCTCGTCGATCATCGTCAATAGCTACAAATAAAACAACAACAACAACAACACGAACAACTATAACAACCATGACAACAGAAAAAACGATTGTTAAACGTAAATCAACAGGAACAGAAATCGTTAAACCAAAACGATTTAAATCAATAAATAATAATTGTGCTACTAAAAATGATAATGCTATAAAAAATGATACATCTTCATCCATATATCAACGTATTTATTTAAAATGTTTTGTTTGTTCAAAACGTGAATATGTTGATGCACAAGCAATAAATAGTGATGTTTTGCATTCTCATTGGCTTGAACATGATAGAGATTTATTATTAAATATTTATGATTCCGAAATTGATTCAATTTTAACACGTGTTGTTGAGTTTTTTAATTTACCTAAACAACATTTATTGGAAGGAAAAATTAAAACAGTCTTTATGCTTAATTCAAAAGAAATACGACTTACGTCAACAACTAACTTATCCTCAAATGATTCATATATTGTTATTGATTAAGTATGTATATATACATATATACATACATTTTGTTAAATTTGAAAAATATGCAAGTTTCTCTCAGGGATTATATCAAAATAGTTTTGTTTTTTTGTTTAATATATATTTTTTTTTGTTTTGTTTTGTTTTTTTTTTTCTCTTTATCCATCTGAAAAAAAACGCACAATTATTTGTTACGTATCTATTTTTTTTCTGCTCGGGGTATGTGTGCGATGTTTTGTCTACAACGAACAAATGATAGATGTTCATGCGGAGTTTTTCATTTCTTCCGTTTGATCTTTTTCTTCTTTCTTTCATGAATATTTGAAAACTAAAAGAACTAACATTTCTGTAAATAGAAAATAACATTGATAGATTTTTTTTTTCTTGTTATTAAATATTGACGAGAAATCACATATGCTTATATATACATATATATATGTATCAAATGCTGCTCAATGTGACTTATTTCGTATCATTTAATATTAGTTTTTTTTTTCTTTTCTTTTGATTCACATTAACCAAACAATCTTCAATTTTCGAAACAAAATTTTTGTATTTCAAGGTAAAACAAAGAATACATTTTATTTTTTGATACTATTTTTTCATTGATAGAATACAATAAAATAACATCATCGACTATTGTCAAATCAATTCAAGTATGCATGCATTTAAAACTAGTGTTATCGATATTTTTCTGCACCTTTAAGAAAAAAAAGACAAAAAATTTACTTGTAGTCATACTCATATCTATCTTATGTAATCTTTTTTTTCTTCACGTTGTTCTTAAGTTCTTCGCGTGTATCGCTTTCAAAGCACATTCTTTGTTAAACTCAACGAAATAAATAACGTAAACTAATTGACTTAATTTTTTTGTATGTTTCTCATAATAAAAAAAAATACTGATAATCAGCAAGTCTTATTATTTTGTACTTCCATTGTGATTATAGATTATCTAAATTTTAAATAGGAATTTTTGTCATTTTTCAACTATCACATGTACAAAAATTTTTGCTGATTCTCTTCTTCTCTTAGCAAAATTTAAAATTAACCAATGAAGTTTCATTATTGAGTTGGCAATCAGAGGTAGTCGTATTTTCTTTTTTCTATCCTTTAGTATCGAATGTTTGTATGCGTATACATGAAGACATTGTAATTAAACGGCTGTTCTTTTTTCTCACCTTGTGTAAATACCAATAAGTGGTTGTTTCAAACAGAAAAAGCATGGCAAAATCTTTTTTTCGTAATATTACTGATCAAATAACAGGTGGTATTAGTAAAACGACTGATGTACAAATAGTGCAAGCTGTTAATCATTTCGAAGATGAACATTCAAAACTATTGAAATTTAGGCGTGAATTTGACAAATATACTCAAGCTATACTACTATTCGACAATGCATCATTTCGCTTTTTTGATTTTATGCGTTCACTTACCGATTCCTCATGGCCTCATCAATCAACAGTCGATCAATTATGTGTCGATATAGGACGTACTCGTAATGAACATTTACAACATTTAAATAAACAGACTATTTCTAATATTAATATATCATTGGATGCATTCGAAAAAATGAAAGGTCGTATTGTTGAACAATGTCGTATACAACATGATTATGATAAAACACGTAAACAATATCAAACAAGTTTAAAACGTGAAGAGCAAATAAAAATCGATCGTATTAAAAATGAAATAGATCAATTGAAATCTGCATTAAATTTAATAAATTGTGAATTACGTGAAGATTTAGGAAAATTTCATCTTGATCTTCAAAATCATCATAGAAAAACCATAATAGATTTATTTGGTACACATGGTGACTTTTATAGAAATTCCTATAAACTATGTTCATATTTTGTTGAAAGACTTCGAGGAAATCCTTCAATGAATTCAGCTAATACTAATAATAATAATAATAATGATAATGATAACGAACATGACTCTGAAAAAGAAATACAATCATCTACTGACGATTCAAACAAGAAAAAACCTGATTGTATATCACTTTCCCAACCAAAACGAACATATAAAATTTTACATGAAGCACATGTTATACATGATTATGAAGCTGAAAATGAAGATGAACTTAATTTAGTAAAAGGTGAATACATATCCATTATTTCTTTTTACAATGAAGAAGATAATATACGTGATGAAGGTTGGGAATATGCTGAAAAATCTGATGGTACTATTGGACTTTTTCCAGTGAATTTTGCTGTACGATTGTATGATAATGAAGAAAAACAATAGTCAATGACAAATGAAAATACCGTTGAACGACAAGAAATATTTTTTACTTTTATTTTTCGTTTTTATCAATAACAAGAAATAATTTTAAAAAAATTTGTACATTAACAAAACAAAAAAAAAAAGAAGAAAAATTGCTGATTAATACTATACAATATGCAACAAGTGTTGTACTTTCATATTTTGTTTTTACAATTAAACATCATACAGATTATACAATACCTAACATATTTGAGATGTATTTTTTTTAACTTTTGAAATGATTTTGGATAATTCTATAATTTGAATAAAAAAATATCTTATTGAAATATACTTTTTATACGCATCTAAAGCAAGAATTGTAACCGGTCTACTAGTTTTCTAATTTTCTTTGCTAGCGTAGATGTATACGCTTTCATTTTTTTTATCGTTTGCGTATGTAAAAAGAAAAAAAAAAGAAGGCAAAATACGTACCATTCTAATTCAGTCAAATTATAAAAAAAGCAATTTATTGAATGTAACTTATTCATTTTATTTTTGTCAACAATTCACATTTGTATATTTTTAGAAAAGTTTGAATACACTTATTCTGTTCGTATCATTAATATGTAATTATCCAAGTAATATTGCTACTACATACGTTGAAATAAAAAAAAAAATAGAAACATTCATTTATGTTATGTCTATTTTATTAAATACATACAAAATTTTTGTGATATTCTTTCATTATAAAATTTATCGAATGGAATTACTATTTATTGATGCATTATCGTCTGTTTTATTGACGTTTCAGACTGCGTCGTAGATCGATTGACGTTATACAAGATGATAATTGAAGTATATGTGTATTTACGATCAGAAATATAAATGGTCACTGTAAGATTGAATCATACATCACTATATAAGAAAATTATCAACTAGTAATTATCATGTTTCCCATATTTATATTTCCGAAATGCCGTCGATTTTTAAAAAGACGGATTTCAGATGTGCAATTGTCAAATTCACAAGATCTCAGCAAGTTTTTTTTTCGATTCGAAAACATGCTCAGGTACTGAGAACGAGTGGTTGACGTGAATCGTGGTTTATATATCGAGTGGAAGAAGAAGTAGAAAAATTTGCTTTGGCAACTAAACGACTGAAAAGCAATAAATCATCGAACTGATACACTGTGCAATCGGCTATCATTATCAACAGATATTTAAGAATGTTATGTTTTAATGTCTTCATATGATTATTTTGACATTCATAAAAATCTAAAACTATGCTGAATTTATTCTCAATTTTCAGAACAATAATTTAATGCTACAATATGAATGGATTTCAGCCTATTCTGACGATATTTTCAAAACAATTTCTATGAGAAGAGGACCCGAAAAAAAAACAACCATGGACCAGCTATTTTCTCAAGTGATTTCAGAAATCTTTCTGTAATTATTCTCCACTAAAGAATATGACTCTAATTCAAATGTAGTACTATTCAGAGATGTTCAAAATATAAAATGGCATATAAAACAGGACTTTTTCTACAATTAGAAGTATCATGTTGCTTGTGTGAATGTGATGACTTTCAAATCATGGCTTCTAAAATGATACCATGATATATCTAACTTAGAACAATCCTTATTAAAAATGTCATTTTGTAGCCTGAAGATTTCTGAATAGACCCATGATTGAATTAAAGCCATATTCGTTAGCTAAAAGTAACTACAGAAGACTTTCTAACATACTTGAACAAATGACTTACTCATTTTTGTAAAAAAAAAACAAGACTTATTATTATTTTTGTTTTTCAGATGGCTGATATATGGTCGTTAGGTATTCAACGTCTTCTTGCGCGTGTTAATTCATTTCATCAACCAGGTCTATTTTCTTCTTGAGTTTGTCTTAATTGGAATTCTATTGATAGGTTCAAGTAAATCAAAATGTAAATCGTTTTTTTGTAATAATGAACATATTGGATGGATTCGTGAAGATGCTGCAAATCAACTTCGTCGATATCCAAATATTTTTATTGAACATTCAGATCAGTATGTATGAAAATAAGAAAATACAATAAAATTTAAAAAAATTAAAATAAACTTTTTAAGATTTGTATTAGCCGATAATTTAGCTACTTATGAAAGTCGCTCAGAAGCTGTTGCTAAAGTTTTAAATGATATGCGTGCAAGAGATTGTTTAAAAACATTACGAGGTTGGCGAGATGAAGTATGTGTTAATAATATTATATTGACAGAAAAAGAAAAAACAGTTATGTTCTTTTCTGTTTTCTTTTTGTCATTCAGTTGTATCTAGTAAAATCAGCATACAACAAACCATCATTATTTGACATCGAACGATCGGCTGCAAGTACGAAAAAAACTTCGTATGTTTAATCAGTTCAAAATATGTTTCTTTTGTTTTAGGTGTATTTGGTATACGAAAGTATGGTTCACATTTAAATGGATATGTTATTGATGATGATGGAACATGGCGAATGTGGATTGGAAAACGATCGAAAACAAAACAAACTTTTCCTGGCATGTATGATAATTTAGTAAGAAAGAAATTTTGAAAAAAATGTTCACAGTAATTTTTATATTTGTCACAATATTTTTCTTAGGCTGCAGGTGGTCTCAGTCATGATTTGACACCAACAGAATGTATGATAAAAGAATGTGAAGAAGAAGCCCAAATTCCTAAACAATTAGCAACTGAAAAATTGAAAGCAGTCGGGGGCATTAGGTATGTATTAGAAAAAGTGTATCTTGTTTACTTTGAAGTATCGTCGAGATGGGTGTGAGTGAAAGACGTACACCCATCTACGCACACCTAAAAAGATTAAAGGTTGCAAAATACGAAAGTCATAGTAACTTGAAAAGTATAAAAGTAAAACTGAATAAGTTTAATTTCTCGTGAACATCTCATTTAAATTTCGCATATATATCGATAAGAATGTTTAGACCTTGCAGATGCTTAGTTATTCTCTGTATAAAGTCATTCGATCATAAGAACTGTTACAATATCTACTATGAGTTACAAACACCATATAACAGATTTATTCATTTAGATTCAGTCGAGCAACAACTAAGAGTTTTTTTTTCAACGAAGTTTCAATATAAACCTATCGCTTATAATGAATCTAACGGCTAGGTCACATCGAACTATTAATCTCAAGAGCATTGTCAAGTACATTTCATATCGATTTATCATTGTTAGACACAATGTCTTTTAATTGAGTATTAGTTTTGATCTATGTGCTAGATATAACTTAACGAGTTATTAGTCTTGAGCCATTTAAAATTATTATTAATAGAATTTCTTTTTTTATCAAGGTAATTATAAGGATGATTATTTATTCTATTTTAAATTAATTAAAATAATTCTATGATAAAGAGTATTTATAAACATAGTCACAGTTAAGTTTATCGTGAAAATTTGTTCAAGTTTTGTTTGTAAAAACTATAAACAAAAAAATAAAATACAGAGGTCGAATAATTGTTTGTAGTCAATACACGAAGGATTTCATATATTTTTATTTTAATGATTGGCTATCAAGGTCGAAGTGTCTATTGCATACGTATACAATCGAATCACTCGACCATCTAAAAATAACATAAACTATAATGAGCAAGTCAAACAAAAAAGAAAAGAAACAACTTTACTTCAAAGTGAGAAATAAATAAATAAAAATATTTATATTTCAAAGATTTCTAAATAATTATTTTAACAAAATATTAATTGAATTGTATTCTAATAAAATATATAAAAGATAAATAACACATAGAATTTATCAATCAATCAGAAAAATTGGTTTTTTCTTTAGAATACTATATTGCTAAACTTATAGAATCTTGAAAATATAATCAATATTTTTTTTTTATATCTTGTAAAATTGTATTACGATTAAAACATAACTTCATGTGGACAATATAAATATAGACTTTTTACTGATAATTTTTTATTTAATATATTTTCATATTTAGCTATTGTTACGAAGATGATGATGGTATACATCCCGAAGTGAGTATATTTAAAAAAAAGCATCATTAAAGCATGATCAATTTAAATATTTATATTAAAGGGAGAATTTCTTTATGATATTCAATTACCAACTACTTTTACACCAACTAATGCTGATAGTGAAATGGAAAAATTTTATTTATGGACAATACCTCAAGTAACTATCTTGTACAATATTTGATATTTGTTATTGTGTTTTTTACATCCTTAGGTAAAACAAGCTATTATTGAAGATGATTTCAAGCCTAATTGTGCTGTTGCTGTGCTTGATTTTCTTATTCGTCATAGTTTTATTACACCTGAACATGGTAAGATTTAATTTTTCAAGTGAAATTAATTTTTTTCTATTCTTTTTCTTTATTAATATAGAATCCAATTACTTTGATATTCTATCACAAATACATATGCCTGGACATTAATCATTTTTATGTATCGAAAACATACGAACATACGAAAAGCATACAGTACAATATTAATAACTGTCATCGAATTAATTTGTTTCCATATAAGAAAAAAAAATACATAAATAGGATATTCTTTGCTTTTGTCAATAAACTCTATATCTATCTTAATCTATATTAATAAATAGTCATATACACACACCCACACAAAAGGATCGAATAAAAAGAAATGTTCCTAATAGCATGTCATTTGAACAAACTGCTTTGTTGCTCTATCATAAATTTCAGTGATATAATTTGTTTTTCTATGTTGATTAAAACCATGATAACTTGTAGGCATATTATTAATAACGTTCCATTGTTCTTGAGTAAGAAAATATGAAGAATGATGATTGAGATGATGTTGATTAAGATGATGTTGATTATGATGATGTTGATTATGATGATGTTGATTGGCATGCAAACGGCCAAGATCGTCTGTTTTAGATCGTGGTATTTGATTGGGAACTTGTTTAATATCATTTGTTTTTGGTTTACTTGATCTGTTGTTAATTATTAATAGATTATGTGATGAAGAAGGTTTAAGTCGTTTTGAGTTTTCTGTTGGTGGTTGTTTTATCGCGCAAGGTTTTGTTTCTGAATGAATATCGGTCTGATGTGTATCTTCATCACCAGTGTCATCATCCCTTGACACTTCTTTGCATTGAACTGATTCACTCTTAAGACATCATTGAAAAAAAAAATTAAAAATTAGAATAGAGAAAGTAACTCATTTACTTTTTCTGGAGTTGATTCTTTTGTTTCAATTTGAATTGGAATGACATGTATTGAATTAGTACTTGACGAGGATTTTATATTTGATGTTGATGATACCCCTACACTTGATGTTGATGGTAACCTCGTACTTGGTTTTGATGCTAAACCCATACTTGATGTTGATGATGATTCCATAATTGATGATTTTACTGATGATGTATTAGCAGCATTAGAAACTGGAATAGTTGGATGCTGTGCTGGAGCTATTGTAGCTGAAGCTGGTGGTTTCACAGATTGAGAAGCTATAGGTAGATGATGTTGAATTGGAATTTCAGTTGGTAGTGCAGTCTTGACAGTTTGCATGGCAGCTGCTCCTTGTTGTTGTCGACGGCGTTCGATAAGAAAACGATCATAAACAATCAATTGTTTCAGAAAACCGTCATTAGGTATAACACATGGACGAGCTTTAACAACATGAACAAGACATTGTTCTAATGAAACATTATATGTACGCATAAGATAACCAATAACAATGGCAGGTGATCGACTATAAAAATGATTAAAAAAATTCATTTATATTTTTCTTCTACCTTCATTTAGAGATTTATTTACTTACCTTTGCCCATGACTACAATGAACTAGTATACGAGATTTTGTACGTCTAGCTTCATCAATAAATGCAAATGCTTGATCAAATGCACGTAAAATATTTTCTCGATCATCATCACGAAGATCAATGGTAAGTGTACGCATATCATTTGGATAATATGGACATAATTCAACATCACGTTTAGCTACATTGAGAATATAACGGATGCCCAATCTTGATAAACGATGAATATCTTGTGCCGAAATACAATTGCCCAAAAATAAATAAGGGTCTAGTACGAGTGATGGTTCAGTTACATTGAAATGTGTTTTAAATAGACGATGAAGTCTATTAAGACGGGCTTCAGATGCTAAAGCTTGGCTAAAGTTTGATGCTCCTCCAGATGATGGGTGTGTTGTAGTAAACATTTTATATATGATTAACTATTCGATGATTGAATGAGCGATACAAATAGTGGGACGAACAAATGACAGTACAAATGCGTGTGTGTGTGTGTATATACTGAGTCCTTCTTTTTATTTGTTTCTCCTCTCTCTTTTTTGCTCGCTCGCTTTATGCCTCCGTTTTATATTACTTCGATTTGAAGTAGTATGCGAGCATCTGTACACGCCCACACCATCATTCATAGACACATAAAGATAATATTAAAAATGAACGGAATACGTTGACACAGTGACTGAGTATGTATAATGAGAGAGGAAAAGCATCGATTGCAATGAGCGTGTACGATAAGAGCAAATCAAGATATAAACATATTATAAGTATAAAAACCGATCATTTGTGTCTGATATCAACGAAAGAAAAAATGATACGAATCTTTTTCAATCACATTAATAACAAAGAAAATTTTGATTTACTCTTTTTTGTTGTTTATGTATTCAAGCAAACTATTTTTATTGGAAAAATCATTCATGGTGTCAAAAAGAAAAACGACTAGACCTTGGCATTGATTCGTTGCATGTGTATTTTGTTTTTTTGATTTTATTGAAGGGCCAATTCATGGGGCATATCTTTCTTTTAATTTTCTCATCGATTAATCATTTCGATAATTTGAATTGTATTCAATCGAATCAAAGCATAATACGTTTCTTATCAATAGTTTCTTTTTAATAATCTTCCAAAAACAAACAAAGACTGTTTTTCATACATATACACACAACAAACAATAAAAATTCCCAAGACAAATAAGAAAAAAGTGAAAAACAATTAACGATAACAACAAGATGATCAAAGTTATTAGATGGATATTCTCTTGAGCATTCCATGAACAATAAGCAAACAAAAACAGAATAAATAAATAAATATATTTATAACCATATATTTGAATGTATGTATGTATGTGTGTATATATTGTCAAACAGAGAAAAAAAAGAAAACAAAACAATGGAAAACCTTTTTTAAAAAACAAAAGAAATAAAGCTAAAATTGTTGGTAAATATTTGTAATCAATCAAATTAAATCTTTTGTTTTCTTTTTTAATATTTATTTTCGTCCTGTAAAACCGAATTCATTTGCATCATCTTCAATTTGATCCGAATATTGCCAAAGACCAATGCGTGAAGATTTTGCTTTTGCTTGTGCTTGTTGTAATTCATCATATAACGGTGTTAGACGTAATTGACGATTACCACGTCCTTGTGCAATAACAACAAGACCTTGCTCAGCTAATATTTTGACGAGGTTTTCTTTTGTATTAGCACGATAAAGTGACACATGTTCAGCATTATTTTGACGATATTCAACTTTCATTAAACATTCTTGATTGTCTATTTCATCAAGTAAGGCATTTTTAGCATATTGACGATCATCTTCATCAGGTGGAGCTCGAACATAAGCTAATTCACATTCATGAGCTTGAGTTGGTAATTGTGAAAAACCTATAATATATAACAAGATAAGAATAGACGTATGCAGCTATTTTTTTTCAAAGACTTGGAAAATTGCAAATGAAGGCAAACGAAGCTAACGAGGGAATATTTCAAGGTAATTCGCTCTATTTTTATCTCCATATTTTGTGCACATGTATGAGTTCAATATACTAGTATGACCGCCAAAGGATTCTTGTTCATGTTTAGATTTGATCAAGGTGTCGAATTTTCGATAGATTTCTTTTTCTGGAGTTCAATTTACGAAAAAAATATTATATTTGAAAATTTCAGCCTAAAAGTTTGTACACATGACGTTGAGGAATAGACTATCTCGTGCATAAAGTTTCATTGGTTTAGAATATTGCATTACCAAGATATAGGTTTCTCAATATATCTGTGCTTTTCTTTAAGTGCTTTGTAAGATAGAGATATATTGAGAAACTTATATCTTTGTAATATAATATTCAAAATTGATGCCACTATGATCATTGAATAGTCTAATTGAAGACTTCATGTATATAAAGTTTCAAGTCAAAAGCAATCAATATAAGTTTTTTTCGAAAATTGGACTATGTTAAGAGAAATCTACTGAAAACTGGCTATCTTAATCATATCTAAACATCAACAAGAATCCTTTGGAAACTAAACTATTCAAATGATTTTCTATGTGTGGACAAAATAGAGAGAGGCGAAAGGAACAGATCACCTGGGAATGTTCGTTTTGTATGTTATTTCATCCATAATGACCTATCAGTGTATACTACTATCGTATGACTTGTTTCACTTAGTGAATATATCAAGAACAGCTTTTTTCAATACAACTGGTTACTCTAAATATAAGTCTATGTGTCCAACAGTACAGAAAATTGGCCGTCATCTTTGATTCTTCACACATTCAGCAGACTACTGATTCTTGTTTAACGCTGCTGGGTATTGTTATTACATATCGAAGCACATCCAAGTTTTATCATATACAGTGTATGTTAACAAAAACAAAGGTTTCGAAAATTAGTTTTTTGTAGATATTCAATCAGAATGGTTTGAGACTTTAGCCAATATGAAAATGATTGCAGAAAAAGAATTTGTCAGTGTATTAAAATTGAGAAAGAAAGGAAAAATAAACTCGTTAATTTCTATGTGTAAATAACTCTTTATATCCTACACTCTCTTGAAACTTCATAGTGCATTTTTTTTGGAAGAATTCAGCTAGATAAAGTTTTATGTGTCTATCAAAATTAAATCATATCATTTTGTTATATTAATTGACAAAAAAAAACACTCAAAAATACATACCAGGTGGTAATGTTGTCAGTCGACTTAAATCAGTAATTAATTCTCGATTACCATAATCAACAAAATAAACTGATATACGATTGTTTCCTTCAATTTTTTCAACTCGTGCACGATACCATTCATTATCAGCTGTAAAACGTGCAGCTAATAATTCACCTTTTTTTGGTGTATGTCCTCCGACAGGTTTTGTTTGATTAAATATTTCACGTAATTCCGATTGTAATTGTTCAACTTGAGATCCCTGTTCAGTATATTGCACATAAACTTTTAAATCTGTTGTTACATAAGTAACAACAACACGACGAAATCGTGGATCATTAAAATTAATTATACTTGATCCTAATACAGCTTCTTCTAATGTATCGAAAAATTTAAAAGAAGAAAAAAAACAAAATTTTATTTATTTGAAAAACTAAAAACAAAAGAAAAAGAACAACGATTACCTTCAGGATTATTTTCACTTTCATGTTCATCATCATCTTTTGATGTGGGTTCTTCATAATTAGTCCAAACACCAATACGTTCTTTTCGACATTTTTCTTCAGCTTCTAATAATTGTTTATAATTTGGTGCACCATATGCTGAATCATGAACTTTAGCAAGACCAGCTTGAACAAGCATAAAAGCAGCTGAATGTCCATCAGCAGTTGTTAAACGACCAATAAAGTTACCACCACGATCCATATTTTCAACTTCAACAAAAACATCACTAGGAAAAAAGAAAATCGAAATATTTTGTTTTCTATTTAATTAATCGAAAAAATATATTTTCGATTAATTAGAAATTTTAATCTACCGTTGTAAGAAATGTTCTTTTGAAAATGTTAATGCTTCAGCACCAAATGGTTCACCCGGTTCAACTTTTTGTTGTTGAGGATTTCCACTAGCAGGAACACGTCTTTCAGCACGTGGACAATTAATTGATGATAATAAAAATGATACTATCCAATTATCTTTTAATAAATGTATACGAAAACGAGAACCACTTGCAACAAATTCAACAACACCTTCCATACGACCATTACGTTGAAGAACACTTAATAAACCTTTAGCTCGTTCTTTATTTGTATCACCAGTCATATCAACAATACGTTGAAGACCAGTACCATTTGAAAATAATCCAACACCACGTTTTTCTGCTTGTTGTTCAGCAGTAAGAAGATCATCTAATGAAGAAAAAAAAGTTGAATTTCTAAAAATAAATAAATAAAAACATTACTGACCATAATGAGATGATCGTTGTTCATCATCTTGTCGATGTCGTACAGCTTTTGCTAAACCTTTTGAAATTAAAGCTTCACCAAGATTAACATTACCAGCATAAACAGTACAACAAATTTTTTCCGGATATTCACTACTTGCTGGTTGAATATAGTCTGTTACAACACGTACAACTTTACCAATTAAACGTTTACGTAATAATTCACGTGCTTCAAATAAATATGGAATTTCATAAAGTGGTCGTTTTATTTGTTGACGATTAGCATTTGGATTATTTTCATCATTTTTTTGTTGAATATCAGCAGCACGTGGTGCACGAACCGATGAAAGATAGATTTTTTTAACTTTATTATCACGTAAATCACGTATAGTTAAAGCATCACCATTGATTACTTCCAAAACTTTAGCCTGCAAAAGAAAAAAACATATATTATAAGTTGATTAAGATTATATCATTTGTTTTTCTTATGATATAAATTAGAAAAAGTTGAAAAATATTAATTAAATTTACCTGATATCCTTTCAATGATGGATCATTTGGTTTTCCATTACTTGCAGCCGAACTTGCTTCATTACTAGCTGTATTTTCATTATCGGCATGACCTGGTTGTGGAACATAATTTTTCCAAATTCTTAATCGATTATCTTTAGCATATTTTTCAGTAGCACGATATTTTTCTCTCCATCCTGGTTGTAATAAAGTTAAACTCCAATCAACACATTTAGCTAAACCTTCTTTTAATAGATGTAATGCAATATTTCCATTCGGATGTAATAATGTTCCAACTAAATTTTGATTATTAACACCATCTAAAATAACTTTAACTTGTCGTTGTAATAAACGTGTATCAATAAATTGTTTAGCTTCTTCAGCAAATGGTTCATTGTTTTCATTTGTTGAACTACCTTCACGTTTTAACATAGGACTCTTAATACCCGTTAATTGTAGTGTTACTAAATAATATGATGGTAAAAGAAGACAACGTACAGTATTACCATCACGCACAAATTCAACAATAGCATCTAATGGTGGTTGTGATTTATGTTCATCAACAAATTGTTTAGGATTTTCTACTGTCCATTTCATATTTCGTACATGAACATCAGCTATTTGATCTGAATATCGTCCACGTTTATTTGCTTTAGCTTGTTCATCAATAATAAGTAAACGTTGATATTTAGGATCATTTGCACGTGCACCAGTTTGTAGTCGTAATTCAACAAGACCTTCAGATAATAATGATTCAATAATATTTTCACCTGTTTCTTTATCTTTTCCTAAATAAACTGTACACATCAAACGATTACTTTGTGGTATTTGAAAATCAACTGTATAACATATTTCTCGACCAACTAATTTTTTACGTAAAAATTCTCGTGTTTCAAATGCATACGGTTCATCAACAGATGATCCACCAGCACCTGTATCCGTTGGTGGACGTGCTAATTTTGGTGCTGTTATATAATTTAATGAAATTCGTTGTTCATTTTCATTAGTTGATGAACGTGTTAATGGTTTAATAACAAGTGTATCGCCGGAAAAAATTGATTTAACAATAGCATGATTTATGGTTGTTGATGATTGTTGATTTGCCATTATTGTTTGAAATAAAACAATATTAAAACAAATAAAAAAACAAGCTGATAATCTGAAATAAATAATTTCTGTTCAAATATAAAGGACAAAAAAATTTTTGTTTTTTTTTTTTTTTTTTTTTTTTTTTTTTTGTACATATACAAATACAATAATAAAACAAAATAATTTAATCAGGATGAGATAAAGATAAAGGTGGGCGAAATTCAATCATAAGAACATACTCTTGTACAGCATTATTTGGACATTTTTGTTTTGTTAAATGCCAATGTAAACCAAGTTTATGATAGAGACGTGTATTTTCCCAATCAAGAATTTTACTTACAGCATCTTTTGAACGTTTATTTAAACATAATACAGGACATAGTGAAAGTCCTATTGTACAACAACAACATATACAACCACAAAGTAACCTTAAATTAATTAATTAAATAAAATAAAAATTTTTTATACAAATTAAAAAAAAAAAATATTTACCATTTAAAATTAATTGGAACATTTTTACGTAGAATTAAATTAACTCTTTTGATCGTTTCTTGATATTCATCTCGTGATACTTTGTGTGTTAAAGCTTGTGGATATTCTTCATCAAATTTATTATTTAATGCAAATACAGTTACATGACCAGCACCACGTATAATAATCGGTTCAGCTAATCGTGGTATATATGTTGGTAATATATCATTACTATCATCATTCATTGTATATTGATTTGTTCTGGATATTTCAAGTGAATTTTGTTCAGGAATAATATCCACTTCATTCATATTCAAAGTTTCTTTTGTTTTTTTTTTACTTGTTTAATGTTGAGCCATTATCTAAACAAAATGAAAAATGATTATTGTAAGATATATGAAATCTTTTGTAGAAAATAACAAATTTAGATATTTTATTAAATTTCATACATGTAGATTAATGTTTTTCTTGGTTAATGGAAAAATAGTTCAATTTTTCCGATGAAGTCTTTTTTTTTTAACAAAAAATTCTTGTTTTATTTGTTTCCCTTTTGTTGTACTTTTTTTTTGTTATGGTAGCTCTTCGATGCATATTCTCAATACGATAGAGATAAAAGCACAGTTGTACTTTATTCCCATAGTTGAAACGATTTCTTTCGGTAATGGAACAATTACGTCGCTTGATCATTGGTAATAGAAAAAAAAAACTTCTACGTTTTTTTTCTCGATTCTTAATATTGTTTACTCAATAAAAACAAATGCTTGAATAAGAATACTTGTATTACATTGAATAAATCTGGTGATTTATCATGAGCATTATTAAAGTTCATAAGGTTTCTATTGAATTTTTATTATGAATACTATTAATCTACATTTGATTTAGAATATTTATTATGATCAATAGATTGTTTTTTTTATTTTCTATCTAAATACCAAAAGCACAAGATAATAAAATAAAAATTTTTCATGTGCTATTATTATTTTCTACGAATATTTTTTTTTTCTTCTTATTAATCAAGATCAACATTTAAATAATGCATCAGTTAAGCCTACCTATTAATTGCAACCACTACTAATATATGAATAAATATTTATCAACCATCAACATCACCATCTTCGAATAATAATTGAAGAACTAAAATTATCGTTTCCAATTATTGACACAATAAATTGAAATAGAGTCTAATGACAGTAATTGTCTTAACTCAATACCTTAGATTTATGATTAATTAAATCTGAAAAACCAAAAAACAAAGCTAAAGATTTTTAAATACAAATTTTGTTTATATGTATTATTTTTTCTTTTGTCCTTTCAACTGAGAAGCTGCTTGTTCTTCAGCTATTTTTGATGCTGCTTTTGCTAATTTACTACGTTCAGAAACAAGTTTAGCAAATAATTTCATATCTGTTTCTTTATCTTTTGCTTCAGGTATTGGTGCTAATGGATCAATTGTTGATGCTGCATCATCTTCACTTGTACTCTCTTTCGTTGATGCCATGCCCATCAATTTTTGTAATTGTTGATGTGCTTCTAACTTTTTAGCTGCTTTACGTGCTTTTTTCTCTTCAGCTTTTTGTGCTTCTTCTAATTGTAATAACATAAATTGCATACGTTCATCGTCTGGATCCACTGAAAATCCATAAAAATCACGTGCTTGTTCAGTTAAATCGTTTTTAACTTTAATTTCAGCTTTTTTAGCACGTTCACGTTCAATTGTTCGTTTACGATAATCATCTATCATTTTTGGCATATTTTTGAGATTTTTTTCGACTTTAGCTTGACTAGTAAAGAGAAAATAGAAACAAAACAAAAGAATGTCAATAACAATAAAAACGAAATTTTTGTATCCTACATTTGATCAAATTCTTTTTGTTTGGCTTCACGTCGTTCTTTGACTATTTTTATTTTCTCACTTAATTCCATATTATATACACGTTCATCATCAATGATCTCATCCATTTCATCTTGTGTTGGCCAACAAAGTTTTGGATCTATACCTGTTTTTCGTCCATATTTACCCCAGAGTGCACGTAGTTTTGTTCGAGTATGATATTGCTCTTTAATTTCAAGTGGTGGTAAACCTATCCTATAAATATGTAGATATACAAGATATAATTGTTCATAGTGTTACCTTTAAAATGTCGATAGACATCAGCTGGTAAACGTGAAATATTTCTATTTATATTATCATTTATATTGTTATCACTATCTGAAGATGTTGGTAAATTCTCGTTTGTTGTTGAAATGAAACGAATTTGTAAAATCGAAACTGAAAAATGATTGACGAACCGTACACATCGAGGACATAATACGGTAGTCAGCATTCGAAAAACTCTGTCGATTGATGAAATACTAACTATAGATTAGAATGCGAATGGCGAACAGATCCAAACATACATCTATGATGACGACGACGACATGATCATATTTATTGAAATAACCAATTAGAAACATGATGGTGTTGGAATATGCGGATAAAGTATTAAATATGTTTGAGAGAAATAAAGTGAAAGTACATTCAAAATCGTTAAGATATTCTAATATATGATCAAAATATTTCCTCTCAAATTCTTATACTTAGACGGACATAGATGGCGTTCAAGACATTCTATTTAGATATTATTAGTAAAAAATAATAAATAGTTCGTTTTCAACCAATACAAGAAAATAATATATTATTTCTGCCCCTAGAGTTTCTTAATTCATTCAATAAATGGAATACTCTTTTAAGGTGTTACCATTTGACTATAAACTATTAAGATGCGTACTTTCATTATATTGAATTGTTTTTTAAAATTTCTCACTTGTGAATAATACAACTATATCAAAGAAAAGATCTTCTTTCATTCTATATATAGAGTAATTAATTCAAAAGAATTCATATTTGCATCTAAATTTCACCTATTCATGTTATCGAAATCAATCGCATAAATTGATATTATTCAAACTTCAATTTCTGTTACAAAGATCAATATACTAATTTTACTTGGATAGACACCGAGTTTAATTTGCATATCATATTAATTCAAAGATAGTAAACAGCTATTTTTAATTTTACAAATTAGATCTAAGTTTGACTTTGAAACATGTTATACTTCACTAGCCTAACATATTGATATAGTACTCAAGCAAAAATTATGCATAAAAACAAGTAGATTTGCCTAACAAAAACTTATATGATGGATTCGTTATTGTTTAGGATTAAAACAGTTTTACCCATTTTATTACTAAATGATTTGTTTCATATTTGAAACTGAGTCAGTACCTATAGTCCAGTAAAATCATACGAGCAAAACATTCGAATCACTTTTAAACAAACATGACGTCAAGCTTTTTAATTATCGGTTGTAGTCTCAAAAGTAAGAAATGAACAAAAATATGCTATAAGATAACGAATTATACCGTATGTTAACAGTGATAGTTTTGCGTTTCACAGATCAAAATACGATCGTACCAGCATGTTGCATATACATTTAGTTTTCAACAATTGAAAAACAAAATGAAGCTGATATATATGTGCGATATTAAAATACGGCTCTTGACTACTTAATAATGAATATTTAATGCTAACGAAAATCTTGACTAAGTAGCATATCATTCTATAAAACAGTGTGTATTACAAATTTATTAACAGTGAGGAGTAGCCAGCAAAATATCAAAAATTGTCCGATATCTGGATATCATAATAATTATGCCAAGTTGTTGGTTTATGTCATTGTTCTGGTCCACGAAACTTGCGATAAAAACAAGTTATGGCAGTTATTATATTGAAGCCGTACAAATAAAAATAAAATGTCCTTGTAATATGCACAGCATGATTAACATATAACTTGACATGTATATCATGTTCCTAGTCATTCAAGGTCCATTTATTGGTTTTTTATTATGATAGTTATAATTCGATATTTTATTTGGTCAAAATCATTATAAGATATTTGCTGATTCACGCTGTTAGAGGAAATTTCGGATGAATATATTAGCATTACAGTATAAGATAAAATGTGTCGCAAAATCCGAGACAACACCTGACACATTCATCATACTATCCGATCGGGTTTGATCTTACTCATGGTTATATGTTGAAATCACATTCAAATAGCAAATGTTTTTTACATATTAGTTTTTATTTCAAATCTAAATTAAATGATTTTAGTCTTTTTAATTTTATAGATTTTCTAAACGACAATTTGGAACATAATTGTATTTTAATAATTTTTCTATTTACTTATATCATCCATCTCTCAAAAAGAAAACTATAGCTTACATCTTTTTTAAATAAGTAATTTTTAGTCATAATCAACAACTATGTCTTTAGCTGTTATGGTTAGATTTTTCGAAAAAGAATTTTTGATTTTGATGTTGGTATCATTTTCCTAAAGTGCAAAATAATCTAATATCTTCAATATTAGTTTGTTGTATCGTAGAAATTTGATATCATATTACTTAAAAAATAGTCAACAATATCACTAGCATATATCCATCATATCAGTTTTAATATTGAAATAAAATCAGATTCGGTTTGAATGGTTTAATTTAAAGTAAGTTTGATTACGAAAGGTAGAGGAATAAAGTAACGGCAAAAACTAATCTTCTTTAAGCAATGGAATAAGATTAGCCTTGTTGACTGAATCGAGTTTATAAAAAATTTCAAAAAATACGGAAGAATGATGAGAAAAACAACGAATAATAAGGTGTAGAAGTCATTAATTTGTTATAATTATTGAACTATTCTTCAACTATGCAAATATATCAGTATGCGAATATTCAACCTTTCCACTTATCTGTTGGGTTTTTGACGTTCTGAATCTTTTTGTGCGTAATCAACACTTTTTTCGCTGTTTACCCCATGGAATCTGATGCTCTGTCTATATTCTTTCTCGTATGTCTGCATTTCGCTTCAGCCACACCTGATATATTGAATTTTGTGTGATTTCCTCTGGATCCGTACCCTGTGGCACCCACATATGATGTGATGGACTTTGTGCATACATATGAAATTTGAATAGTTGAATATTTGAGTAGTTGAATATTCGATTAGTTGAATAGCTATAACAACTAGTTGAGTTTTATGTGTATGTTCGACAATAGTGGAAAGATCATCGATATAGAGTTATTCAATAGTCTGGAGAAAACCATTCAATGCAGAATCAAATCAATATCGGTTCAAGTATTTCTTTTCGCTACAAGCAATAAAAAAAAATACGCATGTCTCTTGACTGCTTACAAATCTACGATAACTATTGATGGGCAAATTATGCTAATATACTTGTAAAATTTAGTTACTCATCGAGGCAAAATCTGCTTATGTTCTACAAAACATACCAATCGATGGTGCTGGAATGCTAAGAAGATTGTTGCTGCTAACGTCATCATAAAGCCCCATTATTTTTAAATTTGACAATTTAATCATTCAAGAACTTCAGGCTTCTTATAAAGTTCGATAAGTGATTATTTGAAAGGAATACATTCAGATTTATCAATATAACGTACTTATTTATCTTTATTGAAGATATACTGGAGAAGGAAGCATATTGAAGTATAATGAGGAACAAGATTTTATGATTTGAAATCTTCATTTTTTATCTAACTTTGAAAATTTAAATTGGACAACCTATTAAAGGAGAGTAAAACTGATGTTTCTAACTAATTTAGCTGCAAGCTTTATAATACTGAGATAAGTTTGAAAATCATTTATATCTTTCTAATGTGGAAGCTACTTCGAATTAGTTAATTCAACTATCTCAATTATTGAATATATTTAGATCATGATTACATCAAACGTTTAAACTTAACAGCTGTAAATTAGAAATCACATTACAGAGTATACAAAAGGTTATTCTAAAAATGTCTATGTATATACGAATTCTTGAACGATTTTCCTCGGTTTCTGAAAATTTGATTTTCAACAAATGTAGAAATCCAATTTTCGATTCTCTGATTAGAAAATCGACAACGAGTCGTATGAACATATCTCTGGCCTCCGATTGCGAATTTAAAAAAAAATAGAAATCCTTAGAGGATCCAGTTTGTCTAAAATATAGGATTTTCGATAAAAAATGACGCAAATATAGGATATATTATACATTGTTTCTGCTCAAATTTTCTGATTTTGTTAACTTCTTCACTTGATATTTTTCTAGTGAAACAAGCAAGAACAGGGGGCTCGCCATCAGAATTCTTATCTGATTTATTTCTACTGGAATGGATAGTTAAATCAAATATCATTAGGAACTTTAATTAAAGTTTTAGAACCTTTTCCACTAATCAATAAATAATGAAAAAAAATGAGACCATCAACTTTGAAAGGATAAAACGAAAAACAATCCAAATATAATTTGTCATGATTAAAAGACCGGGAACTTTTTCTTGACAATTCGACCTGATTAGAAACTGAAATTACATCCATGTGAAACTTTTAATAAACGTTCAACACAATGATAGTAACCATTCCTGAAATTTTCAGCTGAATTGGTTAAACTTTCTCTTGATTTCGCAACCTCTCAATTTCGGCATTTTTCAGAAGAGCCAGAGACTACAATATTAAGATAGTTTCTCAGTTAGTTTATATATCATTCGGTACAGAATTAAATTCAGAGTAAAATCGTATGAAATTCACAAATGATTGATCAACATTTCTTTAAAAAAAGACACATCCTCATGCAGGAGTCATATTTACTCTACTACGAAATCTCTTGGATATTTTGTTCTCTTGAATTTGATTCAGGTCCAACGCCATTTTTCCAGGAACATCAGCAATTAATAAGTGTTACAATATTACAAACACAATAGGATGAAAAACTCTGTCGTCATCTCATCATAAAGAACACAGTTCACAAAAACTAGACAAAAATACTAAACCACGAAAATTGTCGCCCGACTTCGCCCAATAAAGACTTAATTTTATTCGTGCAAGAAAATAGAAAAGATCTAACTTAATTTGACTGCTGTTCAATTGAAAAAATCCTTTTTAAGTGACACTAATTGAATACAATATAAGTCTAATTTTGCAAATTCTAAAGATAAATTTTAATTGTTTTTTTTTGTGTTTCTTAATCAATTTTCGAAAAACAGTGTCAATTGGAAAGCTTATGCTGATGGAACATAAAAGGCGAATATCAGTTAAAATCAATCTTTAAAGCTAAAAATCACTAGTGCATTCAGTACTAAACAACACTATTTAAAAATGTCATCGTAATGTAGGAGTTTGTTTAAAACATATGATTACACACTATATATGTTGTTCAACATCTGAACACTATACTCGAACAAAAATAATCAATACAAGACATTTTGAATTTTCTTATATACACGATTGAATAATGAC